TATATCATAGCCAGCCAAGTAAGTACATACAATAAGTGACAGAATATGAACCTCTAGATGTTCCTCATCTAGACGCTAACCTATCAACGGGCCGCCCATTTCCAGATGCAAAACCCAATATTGCCCAATAGGTCCCCGAAATCAAATACGCCAATATAATACCAACCAAAGCGCCTAATAACACAAACAACTCACCGCTCAGGACTACTCCTCCTTTCCAAGTTCTCTATTATCTCCGACACTTTGCCCTTCCCCTTCGGACTCCCCTTCGTGCTCTCTGGCCTGTGAGCCGGTACAGGCGGCGAGCTCTCAACGTCATCCACTAGCGGTGGAGGCATCACAACATCCTTTAGACTCTTCGCGCTCCCCTTCTTACTCCTCAAGCTGCCAACCGAGCTTCTATCATCATTCACATCATGATTCACGACCCTCAACTTCTCCTTTGGCACTGTAAACATGACCTGTACGACACGATTCTCCACTGCACGTTCGATATCCCAGTCCTCGTCATCGTCCTCGTCATACGGTGAATGGCTTAGCCCGGGCGTCGATGGTTCGTTCCCTTGGTAGTCACCCGTAAAGGTATTTGATCGCGTTCCCATCCCAAGATCGTCTGCGCTGTCTTTCCAATCACCTTTCCCTTGTTTCCTCCGCCATAATGTAGCGCCGGCACTCACTGTTCTCCGGGGCTGGACTCTGCTGCCGTGGTCAACACGCACAGGGCTTGCTTCTCGGGTCGAGAAATTGGGTGAAGCTGGGCAGCCATTCCCGCTGCCTTGGTCGCTGGCGAAGACTCGCCGAATGCTGCCAAGCCAGCCTGCTTGTCCTCTATTCCTTGCTGGCAGTTTGCTCTTGGATGGACTGCCCGGAACATCTGGGTTCGAACGGTTAGGTGAGCGGTCCCCTCCAGACATATCGTCTGGTCGTGGCAGCAAACTTTCGCCTTCTGCTTGTAAGGCCGGGAAGCTGGTATGTGCTGTGTTGAATGTGCTCGTGCTCCCGCTTCCACTTCCGGCACTTCCAGGAGGTCGCAATGATCTAACGTCATGGGGGCCCGGTCCATCGAACACTGGGCTCACGTTTGTGCTTGCTACTGGTGTGGACAATATGGTCCCTGAGAAGGGGCTCATCGCATTTGTGATGAAGCCTCGGAGGGAATTGTTTCTCGATCGAGAGCTAGATCCGACACTCATAGCTGACACAGCAACACTGCGTTCACTCAGATTGCTTGCAGTTCGACCACTATCTTCTTCGCCGGACATGGAGCTGACGGTACTTCCAACTATAAGCTGTGCTCGTCTTGTAGGCGAAACTCTGCCTACGTGAGAATGAGTGCGTATTTGTGCGTTTAGTAATGCATCAGCTGCTGCCCAATCAGTAACCCATTCTTGCACTTCACGCTCCCTGGCGAGCACGGGGCTTTCGAGCTCAGGAGAATGACTCATTGTACTGTCTTGTCGAAATAAAGGGAGTACTATCGTAGGCGGATCTTTGAAGGGGTCAGAGTATCGATTCTCCGATGGTCCAGGCGCGGATGGATCACCCAATGCCACGCCAACTCCTTCAGCTCCAACTCCACTAGGTCCCCCGTTGTCGTCCTCGTCTGCTTCGTAGATGGGGTGGATTGGCCCAGCTGTTCCTAGACTATTGGCGCGCACATGGTTCCCGCCGCCATTGAAATCAAATCCCATCGGCTGATAACTGCCCTTTCCAGTGCGAGAGTGCAACGGTTTTCTCGAGATCTGTCTAGGTGGATTCGGAATTGATGAACCATCACCCAGGGCGTGCACTCCGTTGTGAATATTCTCATATCCAACCACCGCACTGTTAGAGTCGTAGGCAGGCTCATTCGTATTCCTGTCCCCACCATTCCATCCTCCATATGCCCACGGAAAGCCACCCCTTTCGGTCGTTACCCTACCATGAGAGTGAGAGAAACTCGGCTCTCCAGAATCCGAACCGATATCCTTCTCCCGCTGCTCCTCTCTCCTCTTTGTGAGCCGCCTGCTATACCATAAAAATATACCGTATGCAATCAGGATCGCTGCTAGTCCAAGACCGAGACCGAGACCCAGGCCAAGCTTTTTATCGGCAGAATTGGAGGAAGACTTGCTGAATCCATTCGCAATCTCAGCAATGTAGGCGGGATTGGTATATTCCGAATTCCAAGTCAAGCTAGTAGCATTGAAAAACATGGCCTGAGTCGACGAAACAGCTCTCTTTGAGGTAGTTGTGGTGATATTGTAGCCACCAAGTACCATCATGACATTCCCAGGCAGCATTACCGCACCATGTCCGTACATGCCAGTTCCAGATGGTTGTTCATTTGGTACAGACCATTTCCAATCTCCAGTTCCGCCAAGACCTGTTCCTAAATCCAAAACAGCAAGCTGTGGTTCTGCAGCCTGATTGATATCCCCAACCCATCCACCAAGAACAATCATTTTTGAGCCATCCTCAGTCAACACAGCTGTATGTCCAGATCTGCTATCCACCTCCGTCACCGTGCTCTTGACAGTCAATTCGGTATTTCCATTGGCTGTTGGAGCGTCCACGGTAACAAAAGACCAACTCTCTTCTGGCAAACTCCAGACTGCGACTTGACTCATATTGATGAATGCTGATTGTGTATGTCCTCCTAGCAGCACAAAATTCTGCTGCTGTGTGATAATATCAGAGCCATTCGAGTACGTGGGTGTCAGACCAGTGAACGTGAAGCCTGCTTCAGCAATTGGCGGGCCTCTGCTGGAGGGGAGGTCAAGTGTATAGACGGTATTGGAGGACGAGGTGGTGGGGCTAAACGGAGCATATTGTTGGAGTAATTGGAAGCCGACTGCCATGTCGAGATTGTGGCTTCAGAAGTCGGGCACATGCCACCAAATATATATATCTTAGTTTGAGAAGCATTTGCATAAACCAACGGAGAGAAGCTAAAGCCACTGGACAAAAAGTCCGCTCCAGGGAGCACAGCAGATGTTACATCCCCAGCTGTATTTGTGGTCTGTTGTTCCCATGTTCCATTCCCGGCTGTACTTGTATTTGAAGGCGTGAATCTCCATAACGCTGAGCTCTCCGATGTGGAGCAGGAGCCGGTGTATACAGATATCTCGCCGATTGAAGATATAGATGGGATGAACGCGACAGAATCGTTGCTGGTGAATGGAAGATTTGGTGTTATGGTTTTCAAAGATAGGTTCGACTGAGATATGCTTGAGGATATATTAAGTGACACAAGCTGATGCAGTGTATTGGATTGTGAAATTGGCAGGAAGGCGTATGCGATATCCTTATTATTGGAGGAACTTTGAGGAAGCAAGATGGTCGTAGGGTTATATGGAAATGATTGAGAGCAGACCAGGACAATCAAGGACATAAGCCCGCAGATGAGGACGGCGACGTGGTTCCCCATGATGTGGATTGTCGGGTATTAATTGTGGTGATATAGGGATTGAATGGGCTAACTTCCTTTCCCCTCACATTATCGAAGTCGTCTTCGTGGATCGTGTTGGCAGGACTTTCAATGCAAGAGCTCAGCTCATACATTCAAGTGTCTGCTATGGACGACTCGGGAAGCGGCGGTATAATCCTCTTTGGCCAGACAGAGAGATCAGCGGCAGTGAAGCTGAGATTGATGAGCAAGTGCAGAGGCCAGGAAAGAGACCACTTTCACGCAGATGCAAGTAAACAGCACGAGCCAACGGTCTGGGCACTTGCAGGGTGTGCCGGGCTGTATAACCAATCATGGAAGCTATTCTCAATGAGTTCAAGGGTTCAGCTTACGCCTCGTGTTGATAAGCACGCGAAGGCCAGGTTGGCAGAGCAACCACCCGCTTTCTAGAGCTGGAGCTGGAGGGGTAGAAAATGCATGTGAATCCATCCATCCATCCATCCCAACTTGGAGATGCGCGGGAATACTTTCCTCGCCATGCTTTCTGTACGACGGATGATTATTCCCCCACAATTTATGGTTGATTTTGGGGTTTGTCAAGATGGAGATGATGAGATGAAGAAATCTACTCCCGAGTTGCGATGCGATGCGATTAAATGACCTCGGCTCTGGTGGCCTCATCCCAGGAATATGTAATCAATGCGGGGTAGCTTGAGCTTGCTCCATGCGATGCTTGTGAAGTAAAGTCAGCTCCATCAATTGAGTAGGTACACAACATATTGATTGTAAATATAAACTCTTTCGTTTGATCACTCTGCTAATTGCCTCTATTGAATTATACGAGTATCCATAATGCCAATCTGCACAATCCACCTCCTCTCTCTCACACCAAACATCCCCCTCTCCCAATTCCTCACTACCATCCACACAAAAACCTCCCTCAAACCCCTCACCATCGCCCGAGTAATCCGCTGGATAATCCTCCCAACAAGCATCTCCATATCAGAACTTCTAGCCCAGAACATACAGTGCTTTGCCCCCTCCCTCCCTTCTTTTCCTTCCTACATTTCTTTCTTCACCACGGTAACTAACACCCTACTCAAATCCCAGCTGGACATCCTCCTCATCACCCCCTCCACTGATCCCCTCCCGCCAATTCTCCAACCACATATCCAACACACCTTCACCCTCCAAGCAGGCGTGCCCTCTCGCCTCCTAAAAGATTTTCCCCCAAAAGAACAAAAGACTGCTCCACCCCGCCCCATCCGACATCCCGCCCCTAACAGGCTTCCTCACCACCCCGCTTCTCACACCCACCTCCCAAGATCTCACCCTCTCCGGCCCCCTTCGCTCCTGGATCACCTCATCTTCCGCCCCCACCGGCGCGGTCTCCATGCTAAATCTGCTCTCCTTCCTCCCTGGCAAAAAAGACCAGTACCTAAAATACGGCGCCGAGTTCGCCGCGTCGATAGGCAGCAGAAGAGGTGGCACGGCGAAGATCGTAGGTAGTGTCATAGGAGAGGGAGAGCTGAAGGAGTGGGATGAGATTGCGCTGGCGCATTATCCTAGTCTGGCCCATTTTGCGGATATGCTTACGGGTGAAGATTATCAGGAGGTCAATCGGAAGTATAGGGTGGGTAGTTTGAGAGATACCTGTATTTTGTGTACGAGTGAGCTTGAGTTGGATGCGGGAGGCGGAGGCGGCGGGGCGAAATTGTAAATGGGAGGGAGTGATTGTTGGAAAAGTCTTGGTGTGCATTGTACGAAGCGTCGTTTATGACAAAATATCGTACTAGATCCTCCTCATTAGAAAGACAAATGCAAGAAAGGAAGGCTCGCTCCCAAAAAGAATTGAACTTATGAGTAGAAAGTAATAGCGTGTGAAGTTCTTTTCTGCTTGGGAGGAATAATCGGAAGTGTAGGATTGATTGGTTCCTGATTGAAAAGGTGAGGCGAGGGTGTGTCATGCTGAGATTGTACTGGCGAAGAGAGTATGGAAAGCTAATGATCAGGGGTGGATAGTAAGGTCGTTGTTAGAATGGTTGAGTTTGAGGAAAGGGAAAACGCAAAAGATTTAGTACAATAGACGAGAAAACAGGGGACGTCCCACTTGGAAAAGCATCTGATAGTCTGGTGTCAGATGTCTCTCGAATAATTTCCCAAAGTGCATAGACCACAGGCTTAATAACTTTATATGTTCACGCTGCCTGGCATACCTAGCAATTAGCCAGTAGCTCAGTTGATATCCCCTATATACACGCTCCTCTATAACGCTGTTACGTCGCTTTTACTGCTCGCACTGCGTTATGCAGCTGCCTGTCCAAACCCCCGCAATCCAAACTCATTCCGTATACCGTGTGTGCAGGACTCTATGAATACAAGTGGAATCGAAAACAGACCCATGTGCTGTCGGCAAATATGTGGCAGACCAAACACTCTGCTGTGCATGGCCCCATGTTCATGCAAATACCTCGTCTCTATGTCGCGAGGCCAATTACCCAGCGTCTTGTCCAGGGCATTTTCCTACCCTACCATACCGTAACGCCTACGTCCGCAGAATATTAACGTGACGTCCAAATCCTGTATGTTCGATGACCTCAAAGGAAATCATTAGGGTCGTATCCGTAAGGAAAATATGTTCTTAAGGAGTGTAAACTCAAGTATCCGGATTAGTTGCTCGAAGAATGGGACCTTGCTGGTGAACCCTTCTCGAGTAATCGTGGTCATCTCTAATGGTATTAACACTTTCTCGACTCTTGTTGTCGCTGGCGCGCTGGTACACAGGTGAGAATGGATCTAATCGTGGGTCCACTGGCACCAAGCGGCTTTTCCTCGATCCGGGTGCACTGTCTTCCCAAGTCTCGACCACCTCTCGGCCATTGGTACCCAAGACGTATCTCGAATTCTCACTCATCGTTCTCGATGGAATTGGGCCACCTAGACCTGCACTACTTCCGTGGCGGCTGGTGTCGGCGTTAAGTCTCTCTGCTTCCTTTTCCTTGCGGCGTTTCTTTAGGCAGAAGTAAACGATGGCACTAACAATGGCGACAAGAGCCACGAGACCAATAGTGAGGCCGACTGCACCCCCAGTACTGATTCCAGAACTGCTTTTGTTTTTCGACACTGGGGCAACAAGTGCGGAATTCGGGGGAGATGTTGGAGTAATAGTGACAGTGTGGACTTGTCCTGTGACTGTTTCGAGAGAAGTCACCGGCGTTGGAGTCCATATGGAAGAGCTTGAACTTGAGGAGGTCGAGGTGGAGGACGGTGAGGTCGTGGCTAATGTGGGTGTGGGAGTAGTAGCAGCTTGTGTTGTTGTTGTTGATGTAACCGACGTGGACTAAAAGAGGGTTAGTGTGCACCCGATATTCTTATATAAATCTGAACTTCATGAAGGTCGAACCAAAAGGACCAAGGGAAGGACCATACAGTGCTCGAAGATTGCGAAATCGGGCCAGTCGTGAGAGTGTCCACAATAGTCACGGCGCTTGGAGTCGCCGTTACAGTTACCTGCTATTGCAAGTCAAAACGGTTGCCAGCAAGGGCAATCGATCGGGGTGAGGACATTGCAACAACAGCACATATACTTGACAAAGAAAAGATGTTGGAGCATATCATAAGGGTTCGGGAAGTACTAACCTGAGGGGTAGTACTGCTGGGCGATGTTGATGTTGATGATGCTGCGGCGGAACTTCCTCCTTTGGTGCCCGATGGGGTGTTCCCTAAAGCTATGTATCCGTACACTCCACTCCCACCACATAGTTCAAGAGGATACCCAGGACATGTCTCAGTGCATCCAGACGTTGTAGATCCAGGAACGTAGTTTGAACACCAGCATCCATCGTCTTGGACGACTGCGAAAGCATAACTCGATTTGCAGAAGTCGGTGCAGAGGCCATTGGATTGGTATATGCTGGAATCTGTACAGCAATTCATTAGTACTTAATTTCCTCTTCTAGGCGCGTCGGGAATAGCCTACTCTTATTTGTATCAGCGGTATTAAGCCCGGAGCAGTATTCAATACTGGCAGCGGAGGCTTGGTCGAGGCAGCCAGCGAGGAAGATAGCAGCAAATACTAGTCGAAAGGACTGTTGTATCCGTAGCGAGAGCATTTTCTATGCTGGGCAAACAAGGTGTCGTGACGGAAGAGATGTTCGAGCGCGACGAGCTCGAGCTGGCGGTGAAAGGAAAAGGACTCAGACTCTGAAAGAGCCTGGTGATAACGATCGTGGTGTTAGGTGGAGAATGAAAACGGCGGACAGGACAGAAAGTCGAGATTATTCATGAGCAGGGCAGCGTTAGTGTCACACGGCAGTCACAGCCATGTCAGGTCATGTCACTGATAGCTAGCTGTCTGTATGTCTGTCTGTCTGCCTGCCTGTCTGTCTGTCCGTCGCGTTTGGCGATTGAGGTTCCTCGAAGCTGACTGCGGAACAAAGTGGAAGTGACGGACAAAGGGCGACGGCGAGGTTGTATGAGTGGTCCGGGTAGGTCGATTTCGAACAATAACGGGTTCAGAGAAAGACGACGGGATCAATACAGTAGATATCTGGGTTGGCCCGGGTCTGGTGCTGGTGTGGGTGCTGGTGTGGGAGCTGGGTGCTGGGTGCTGGCGCTGGGTCAATCTTCGGTTGGGGGAATAAAGTTAGTGGGTTGGGTTGAGTGGAGTTGGATGTGGGATGACTGGGATAGATGGGAGGGCTGTCCTGGTGTCTTTGCTGATTCTGTCTACAGAGGTACTGGCGCCAAAAAGCAAGAGATCTCGTTGGTCCAACAGGTCGGCACGGCAAGAGCCTTTGAGCAACAACACGAGCGGCGCGCCGAGTTGAGTCGTGAGCTAGAACTTAGATAGAAGTAGAAGCACAGAAGCACTGGAATTGGATTATTTTCTGAAAGCGTTACGGAGTCAATTGTAACAATTATGTCACACATGAGTATATGGAAGTATAGAGGAAAGGGGCTGGATAGTATGCGTACAATACGGTACTACGGACGCAAGAATAGCCGGACTCCAAATTACTACTGTCTGTACCCATGATCCTCCCTGATAGAGATAAAGAGAAGAGATACAGTACAGTACAGTACTGTACGGACCATTGTCTGCAGACAGCAGCTGCAGGGAGAATAGAGCAGCGTGCAGTTCTTTCCTCTTTTGGAACAATTCATTACGGGCCATAAGTAATGGTACAGTACAGTAATAACGGCACGGTACTAATGCAAGTGCCAAATGAAGTTATTCCAAGTTTCCCGTTCTTCTTTCCCCTGTCCATTTCTACTTAGAGCCTATTCCAGCCGTGCAGGGTGCACCAAGTCTGCATGGAGTCAAGCGTGAAGCAAGATTTCTCCGTAAGCGTCCAACTCTAATGAATATCTTCATGCTCCAACGCGATGATTGGCTACCGTGTGTCATCGCTGCCTCCTATTTCCACTCTCCAAATTGAAAGTCTGTAATCAGTGTACTGTACTGTAATGACACAGATTTAGCCTCTCGTCGTCATGTCATTCAAAATTCATGGTGGGCAATGATGGAATTCATCGCATCGATATTGACATGGTAGAAGTAAATCATATCATGTATGTACCCCTGGATGCCTAGGTACATGTAAACTGTCAAAGTTTTCATATGCAAAGAAAGCAAGAGAAGCCACACACTTCGTATTCCAGCGGCCACCCTACCACAGCTCATGCATGCGGTAATCACTACCACCAGACGGCCTGCCGCTTCTTTTTCTTTTCCATGTGAACATTAAAAGTGTCAACCCGACAAAACCATCCATTCTTCCGAAAGCTTTCCCCAACTAGCCCTAACCGTAGATGAAGGCTTGTCTTTTGCAGATCAAGTTGATTAACAGCGTCATTGATGCCGCACGGCCATCCATAATTTGCGAGTACCATATTACCACCGCATACCCGCGGAGATTGGAGACACGCCACGCACTTTTATTTTCCGAAATGGCATCGTAACTTTGTAATGCAACTGTCTTTTGCTTCACAGTCGCGGTTCGTTACAAATTCATTTTCGATGGGATCATTGTGGCGACGACATGTCTAGCTTATCTCTTGATCCCAATTCAAGCACTTCGACAGAGTCCATCTACATGCATACCCCTCTTCATCTTCATCTTCCCTACTCATCCATCATCGCCGCTTGAAGCTGCATGCGGCATACTGCTACCTACCTAGGTACTGTACTGTACTGTACTGTACTCGAGTATTCTATAGATAAGGTGAGCTGCTTGGAAAATCGTGCACCGAATACTCCGTAAGGACCACCAGTAGATACTCGTGCCGCGACTGATTGGATGAATGAAGGAAGAACTATTGATTTATAGAAACTTTCCTCCCCCTGGCTATTTAACCACCCAAGGCTTCCAGGAGGGGGTGCGGTATATAACCCCTCCCCAAGGTATATTCCCTTCAACGCCAACTCATCTGCGTTCAACTCCAGAAACTGTCGCATCCTGCAACAATTTAATCAAGCCACGTTTAGATAGATGTACGTCGGATATGCCGAATCCATCTTTTGTCTCAAACACAAATTATACCTAACCCTAACCTGTCTTGTCCTGTTCCTGTCTGTTCCTGCAGTAGTCTGCGCACGTGATGGGCATCGTCCAATCATCGCCTCCTTTCCTAAATGTGCCTTTTTCTATCAGCCTTGGGATCTCTTCAGATATCACGACAAAGTTAACTCCTTAAAGCTACGGATAGTGGCCGCTGCTAGATATATTTTCACCACTTGTCTTTCACAATGTAAATTATTATTCTTCTAAAGATATTCATATCACCTACCTGCCTGCCTTCAATCCCTTAATCGCGTCGCGATGAAGTTCTCGGTGGGCATCGTCAGCCTCGCCCAACTGGTACTTGTCACACAATATACACTCGCAGCCCAATATCATGGCTACCACTCTCCTTATTCATTCGACTGTAACTACCAACACTCACCACAATGGATGACCTCGATCCCATCCTCCACGAACCTCACATATCTCTCCATACCAGGAACGCATGACACCATGACCTCCGTCGTCGTGAGCCATATCTTCCAATGCCAAAACAACCACCTAGGAGCACAACTCCAAGCCGGCATTCGTTACTTTGACATCCGCGCCCGTCTACATAACAACCAGCTTTTAATATACCACCAAGACTCCTACACCCAACACTCCTACCTCGAAGTCCTCACGACCTTCTTCAACTTCCTCGATGCAAATCCCGGAGAAACGATCCTCATGCGCCTCAAAGAAGAATCCACACCCATAAACTCCACCATCGATTTCCTCACAGCCTTCAATTACTACCGTTTCAACGACACGCAAACAGCTCCCGGCTGCTCCAAGCACTTCTGGGTCCCTCCCCAACCCGGACCTACCTTCATTCCCACATTAGGGGACGTACGCAACAAAGTTCTCATATTGCAAAACTTTGGCTCAGATCCAGCCGAATACGGCATAAAATGGGAATCCCCCCTCCTCGCCCTCGAAGATGACTATGCTATCCCAGACCTCTATTCCGGCCTCGACTCCAAATTCCAAGCCATCACCGATAGCTTAACAGCTGCCAAAGCCGGTATCGAGTCGAATGATGGGAAATTATATTTGAGTCACCTGAGCGCGAGTGTGGGTGTCCTGCCTATTGAGGCTGCGGCGGGGACGGAGAACGGGAGCGTGGTGGGCTTGAATGATCGTACGGGGCGCTGGCTGAAAGAGGGGAATGGGGGACGGACGGGGGTGGTTATTATAGACTTTCCTGGGATGGGGTTAGTGAGGGAGGTGTTGGAGAGGAATTATTGATACCCATTTATCAAAGAAAAATAGAAAGAAGGATATACCGGAAAACAAGGGAGCCGCCCGCCCTGTGTCGGCCGTGGGAAGATGGATAGGCATCATACATTACCAGTCTGAAGATGCTTTGACTGGAGAGCATTTATGAAAAGGTAGGTGGAATACACATCCCTCCACCAGACTCAGCACACTTCCCCCACAACAACCATAACAACCATCCCCAAAACCACGACCCGCATGCCCACCTTGCACTCCCTCCCCGCGCCCGCCTCATACACACGATGATCCTTCGAATTCGTTTTTTCACCCTTCATCGCCGTCTCAATACCCGTCGGCGTTACCGAGACTCCACCGAGGTTTCCCATAGTATTATGCGCAGGTATCCCGGAGTTAGCAGTGCTTGCTGTTACTGTTGCTGCAGTCAGGAAGCCGAGTAGGAGAATCTGGTACGATATCGTTGTTGGGCTTTGGAATTTCATTCCTGCTTGGACTTTTGGATTGTTTGGGGGGTTCGGATGGGTATTTATCGCAAAGAATATCGCAAAGAAAAAATGGGGTAAAGGTAATACCAAATTCCTAAAATCTTATTCACAGGCCTGATGATAGGGAATCAGTCTTAAGAATCAAGGGTGTAACATTTATTAGTTGAGGAGATCTCTAGACTTCTAGACTGTGTGAACCGTTTACATTTGTCTACATTTACTTCATCTAACATGATTAATTACATACCTGGGTGCACCCATCACTCATAGCTTTTCCGAAACCTCAAGTGCATCCGCAGTTTTGGTAGGAACAGGAGGCAGAGGCTTTTTAACGGGCCCTTCGGCATCATTGCCATCCACTTGCTTCTCCGAAAATACTTTATTCGGTCCAGTATCTTCAGAGCCGTACAAATTTTCCAAGCTCTCATCTGCAAAGAGTAGCCTCTCCACCTCCTCATCATTATCCTTCCACACAGCAGCAACGGCTTCTGACCTCGCCCTGTGTTGCGCCTTGATCCACTTGCCGCCCTTGTAAAGAACATACGGTATTGGCGACAGAACCAAACTAGCAAGCACCACTATCAACAATGTGATACGGAATAATCCAAGCCTCTGGTATAGCGTTGCCCACCTCTGGAGCACCATATGTCTAAACGATCCAATTCTCCCATACTCATCAAAGTTTTGTCGGAAGATATAACGATACCAAGGATGATCGCCGAAATCTGAACAACGCCATGACTTCAATGTACATTCTTTCAGGTCGTCTGGATTGACAGAGTCGCCTTGCCGTCTATCCCACAGCTTGACTTCTTTGATCTCGAAAGAGTGGTTCGGGGGGTCGGTTGTGGCGCGGTTGAATGTGTTCCGGTCCCTCAATATTATCTTGATGACTTTCTGTTCCATATCCTTCAACAGCGCATTATGTCCAGCAATTCCAGCGCCCAGCAAATTAATCATCAAGTTCGGGGAATAACTGTAGTAATGGATAGAGGGATCGTCTCTTGGATGGGCGATACGATCGTAGTCGAGGTCGAACACCGGTAAGTCCGTGAAATTAGGTGTGCCATACTTGAAGTCGCGGAATGATTGAGATGTCTGAGGCGCGGAGAGTCGCGGGGGCGTATGCGGCTGCAGCAGAGGCATGAACGGTTGGTCTTGCAAGAGAAGCGTCTGGTTGTCCGCGGAGATGGTGAAGTTGAGAATGAGCGCGCTCGGGATGTCCTCTCCTATCTGCTCCTCCTTATTCCACAGAGGAAGGTCGGGAGTGCTCACGCGCACGAGAACGCTGCGCCCTTTTTTTAGCCATTTGACGCCTTGGGTGGTGGGGTTGTTGGGGTCCTTCTGCGCAGCTACTGAAAAAACGTGGAGGAAAGCAAGTAACAGTAATTGAGTGGTGGCTGGCATATTGGAGTCCTATAGCAGACAAGGAAAGGGGAGAGGAAGAATCTCCAGACACAGGAGACAAGAGAAAGAGACAGACATGTCGCAGCCTACATGTACATCGTTTAGTAGACCTGCAAAAATCGCATCGCTAAGAAATGAGCGGCACAGCAAAACCCACTTGAGCCTTTGGTGGTCTCGGCCTCGTTCAAGAGTTTTACGACTTTGCCTTCAGCCGCATAGCCGGGAGCTGGGAGTTGAGAGCTGGCAAATGGGAACTGGGAATAGAAAGCGCCTGGCAAGTGTCTGAAGATGTTCTCGAGAACTTTGGCCGTGTTGTTGAAGCTATTCTAGGAATTAGAAGTCGTGGCCTCGACCAATCAAAGGCGGGCGGTCGGATGTTGGCGAGGCGAGCCCCTCTCCGAGCCCCTGAAAATAGCAAGAACTAATGAGTATCCACATTCATATTAGTCCTTGACACTTCCGCGCCTGATATTTCATGAGATCCAGCGAAGAAGTTCCGTTTTCTACTTCACTTTTCTACTCATTTAGTTTTCCAAATGGCGTACATATTGAAAGTGTGAAAGAGCCTCTTCTTTTGGTGGCTAAAGCCATACCAGCCACAACTGCAGCCACATCCCGACTGGCGGGGCAGCAACTTCTCATCAGCCCATCACATCTCAGGAGGCTCCCACGTGTTGATCAACGTCTTGCAAATCGGAAGTTGCAAATGCTCCGAGTGCTTGTTGTCCAGGCATCTCAGAGCATGTCAAAGACAAATTGCTTTTTGTATGAGTATTCTAAGCATGTGAACCCACGTTTCTTTTGTCGGTCTGTGTCAATGGTGTACAGTATCAGAAGGTGACTTGACTCGACAAGAATTTGAGTTTGTAGTTGAAGCAACTCATTCTCACTTCGGGGCATATACAGGGCTGTATTGGTATCTCAAAACGCCTGATTCCCTCATACCTTCTGTTTCCATACATCATGCAACCTTGAGATCCAGTAGAATGCTCAATAACAGGCACAGGTCTTCCATTGCTTGGCATATCTTGACACCATCTGCTACAAGGCGTACTGACACCTTTCCAAGCGTGGCTTAGTGGGGTAACCGTCTTTATTAATCCTGGACCCTGGTGTGGCTTCTGTTTTGTACATCAAGCTTTCACCGGCCCACCCTCGCTCGACCTTGCAGTGTGATCATTCATCACTTACAACTTCAGCACCGAGTCCTGTTATCCATCTCATCAACAGACGCTCGAGGAACATCGGCAGTGGTTTGCTACCTTCCGATGACAAGGCTAAAGATGGAATAATATCGCCCATGTTGTGTAGCACGCCGGTAATGTACAGTCAGCCTCTACAGAAGTCAATTGCACGAGCGCCCACGTTGAAATATCGCCTCTTTTCTTGTCTCGACTTCTATCCTGTTCCGCAAGTATTTGTCAAGATTACTTCACTCTTCTATAGATATTAAAAAGACGTCTACGGCTCATGACAGCCTTCGTGGCTGACCATTATGGATCCTCTACCCGAGCCGGCTTTGCCTATCCCACAAATGAGGACATACGGAGGGAATGCTGCCTTTCATAACTTCCACAATGACTATTCCCATATCAACGATCCAAATCTTCGCCGAAGGTTAGCCCTAGCAGAAATAGACAAAGTATGTCCATCCAGAGACGCTGTGCCCCCTCGGGCTATCTAAGAAGTTCAATACTGACTAGAACAGATCCCATTCGGATGGTATCACGTCCGCGCTGTCACTGTCGCTGGTATTGGGTTCTTTACGGACTCGTACAATATATTCGCCATCAACCTTGTCACATCTTTATTGGGAATGGTGTTTTGGCAAGGGCCTCCGATACCAGGATCGAGTTCTGGCGGGAACTTTGGAATATTACCCCAAAATATCAACACAGCACTCAAAGCGGCTACCTCTGGAGGGGCAGTGGTGGGGCAGTTAGGCTTTGGATGGTTGGCTGATGTGGTCGGGCGAAGAAAGATGTATGGTGTTGAATTGGCCATCATTGTCCTCGCAACATTTGCACAAGCCCTTGCCGCACCCAGTTTGGCGGTAAATATGACTGGTCTCCTAATCTTCTGGAGGGTTATCATGGGCATTGGGATTGGAGGAGACTACCCACTATCTGCAGTTATTACCTCCGAGTAGGTATATCCCTTTCCTTTGGACTGGACGTTGGGCATTGGACCGCATTCGGTCCAGGCTGGTGCTACTTTGTCACACGAACTTGACTCCTAACGTAGTTTAGATTTGCTCCAACACGTTGGAGAGGTGCAATGATGGCTGCCGTTTTCTCCATGCAAGGGACTGGTCAATTAGCGGCCGCCATTGTGGCTCTCATTACCACTGTTGCGTTCAAAGCCTCCTTTGTCAATACTACAAGCTCCTTCTCAACCTGTCATGAAGCCTGCCAAAAGGCTGGCGACCGAGCATGGCGCGTTATCATGGGATTTGGTGCAGTACCGGCCTGCTTTGCGCTCTATTGGCGCTTGACTATTCCTGAAACTCCCCGTAACCAATCCTTTATTTGTTCTTCCTTATTTGCTGTGTTGTCACCTCCAAAAACTGTCTCGTCTGCTCGGCACCTGCTATTCCTGAGAAGATAATACTGACACATTGATAGGATATACCTTCGATGTAGCCCGCGATATCGAGAAAGCCCAGGCGGATATCAAAGCATACATAAATAATGAATCAAATGGGAGTGCTGACTCCATCGTACGTGAGAAGACCAAGCAGCGGCTCGGCAAGAGTCTTGTAGCACCTAAAGCGTCTTGGAATGATGCCTTTGGGTACTTCTCACAATGGAAGAACTTCAAGGTTCTCTTTGGAACCACCGCATCTTGGTTCTTCCTTGACTTAGCTTACTAGTAAGTTTTCATCTTAGGGTAGTTTTCTGTAACTTATCCTTGTACGCTTTCATACAACTCATTTGGCACATCTTATTCGCCAGCTCTCATTTTATCACAAATTGGATTGGCTAGTATGTGTTCTGACAAAATTACCAGCGGACTTGGCTTGAACAATAGTATCGTCCTGAATGTAATAGGCTACGGTACTGGTCATACAATCTACCATACTCTTCTCAATACCGCTCTTGGATCCCTGATACTCGCATGTGCTGGCTCTATACCAGGCTACTGGCTCTCGGTATTCACAGTCGACACGCTAGGCCGTAAACCCATCCAAGTTATAGGATTCTTCATCCTTACGGGACTTTTCTGCGTAATCGGTTTCGCCTACAATGCCCTCAGCTCCGGCGCTTTCTTGACATTTTATATCCTTGCACAGCTGTTCTTCAATTTTGGGCCAAACACAACTACTTTCCTCATTCCTGGCGAATGCTTTCCAACTCGTTATCGCTCAACAGGACACGGGCTCTCTGCTGCATCTGGCAAAATCGGTGCCATCATTGCACAGGTCATGGCACCGCCCCTTCTCAACAAAGGGGCCCCGGAGGGTTGCAAAGGCGCAGCTTGCCAACCTTGGCTTCCCCATCTCATGCAAATATTCGCACTATTCATGCTCTGCGGAACCCTTGTTTCCTTCCTAGTGCCCGAGACGAAGGGAAGAACCTTAGAGGAATTGGCTGGCGAACGCACAGATGAACAACTGAATGGCAACGTAACAACGAGGAGCAAAACAAACTGGTGGAATTACTCCAGTCCATTCAAAGGGGGCAGGCCTGCGGGGTTCAACAGTGGCCGGAGTCCAAATCTCCTTCCGAGAAGTCCAGGAATAAGAGGAAAGCGGCAACGAGTTGGAATTATGACAAGCCCGGATTTGATACCAAAAAAAGGGGATAAAGGAAAGAAAAAAAAAAACATTTGAGAGCGGCCGTGGAAATGCACGTCCTTTTAACAGCAATGCACGAGAGATGGATGCTGGCCATGATACATACGTGCCCGATATAGCGGGCTGTGTCCTCCCGGGTTGGAGTGCTGGATGGGGTGTACAAAGGGGCCCTGGGAGAGATGAAAGAGCAGAAAGTATTATGTTACAAGATGTTGGGAGCCTCCTAAAATGAGCGAGCTATATGGGGGACTTATAGGTTAACACTCTTGCAACTCTACTGCTCAACAAACTTTGTACCACGGTCTTAGGGGACCAAAGCCCTTGTAATCGGTTTGAAATCGATTACGGAAAGGCCTGATCTCGGTACTTTCGTGGGACAGAGAGAGCGAAATGCAATGATGAAAAGGGCTTATCGACGTACGCTCACGAAGAACTTAAAGCGCTTAGAATTCTAGTATTGTTCGTTTAGATTCTTTTTGGGCAAGTGCGAGAGGTTTACGCCGAAAGGATGAACTGGTACCGGTCCTCGAGAGTCTTATTTCGGTTCCTGCTTACTGCCAAGGAAAGCGACTTACTGAATGCATCTTACTGCGAGGTTCAAGGAGTTGAGAGAGGAATACTAGAGTGCAGGCGTTGGTTAGACTGGAGTTAGGCGCTCGAAAAGTGACCGTGTATGGAATTCATGAAAAATATTTCCCTGCTCTGTTCTACTTTCATACATTCATTAATATCACCTCAAGACTTCCCTTTTGACGAGCATTCTACCACACTGCATCAGGAACTATCAACACGAGGTCGCTTATTGTTTCATTCTTGCGCCTTCTCGCTCCTGACAGCGCACCTTCCCATTTCGCATTTAACACCTGCCATCAACATCCTCTCACCATGGATTGTTCCACCCCGCCCCAAACATCCTCTTCAGCTATGCTCTCGTGACCTGTAGATCAACACTCGACATTGTCGCTACTATCTGGCCTCGATTCCATAGACCTCTCATCTACCACTCGTATCGAAGGTAACCTCGAAAGCCAAGACCACCAAAACTGCCACTACCCTCAAATTCCAGCGGCGAAAACATTCACCTTATTCTCCAAGCTTCCCGTCAAATTCGGTGCCTTATATGGGAGCTGAACTTGGGAGGTCCGCGGTATCTGGAGATTGTTACCGTGGGGTGAACCTGGAGCATTGTTAATTGGACCCTCGAGTGTGGCAAGAATTCACCAGTCAACCTCTTCATCTGTCGAGAGTCAAGGGAAGAAGCCCAGAAGGTTTACCAAGCTGTTCGCACGTCACCTCTGCACGGGCATTCCACCAAATATGTCCACAGGGAACTAGACACCCTGTGCTGTAGACTTCATGAGAGGGGGATACCGCTAAAAGTGCTAAAGATTCTACTACTCAATGAGTTGAGAATTATTACTGGGGATTCAATTGGAAATCGATAATTGGTGAATGTTTTCGAGGCGGGGAGCTTGAAGAGATTATCCTTATTTTCAACAATGTCTATAAGCAACGTCCACAGCCAATTCCAAGATCAAGTACAGGAACAATTTAACGCCTCGTATACATCGATGATCGCCTGTGGTTGCAGAACGAAGGTCCATCACCAAACATTCATTTGTCTCTCAACGAAGCTATGAAACACCTTCATGCGGTATTCACCGTTGTCCAGGTCAATTTACCTACTTGGCAGCCTCTGACTACAAGGCTAGGAGTCTTTGCATGCCTACACTGTATCCCATTTATGTTACATGGAGAGAGGTTACAGGTTGCTCAGACGTGGCCAGGCTAAGGAACTAAGGTCTAGGAGATGTACACGCGACCTTGGATCATGCTACTATGCGGTGGTAACAGATGGTTTGAGGGTGGTACCAAAGGCAGCTTGTGTTTGTGATCTTGAATTTGCATTCCCATAAATATGTATCTTTCAGAATATCAGCTAAAGACCTTATGTTCTCATCACTCAACTTACGACTTACGGCTATGTGCGTACGAAAGCATGATCACGTACCGTCATTTTTCCGTCACATAGCTGCTTCTTTAGTGAAATGTAGAAGCAAATGCACAAGAATAGTTGCATAAAAAGGGGGGTCACATACTCGAGAGCCTAAAAACAAGCCCGTGGTCCTCAAGCTCTCAGTAGTCAGATATGACCCTTCCGAAACTCTGAAAGCGCGGGCTGGAATTATCATTGATGTAATTGTTAGTCTGCGCCGAAACATGAACCGTTGTTTACTACCTACCCGGGTAGGTAAATATTGGTGTACAGAGCTGCTTTAAGCGAAAATTTTGGTCCGCCCCTTTTCAAGCTAGGACGGAGCATCTGGAATTCGTCATAGGAAGTCCTACGCTGATATAACCATAAATTATCTGTAGTGTATTGGCTATATGCTACATTAATGTAGGGGTTTGAAAGTATCTAGGTCAAACAACTAACGAACTGTACTGTTGTAATACAACCGAGATGATAGCATCAACCTTGCTATTATGATATTCCCCGCACCCCTCCTTCATGCCAACACCATCCGCCATTCATTTATTTGTTATCCCCCGATTTTTGGCTTTTTTGAAGCTTTGTTAGCTCCTTCGATTGAAAAGGAAATATATCTTTGCGATCATCAACTCGAATAATGGCCTCCGAAAACAAACGCCTGCGCATCGCAATCACCGGCGGTGGATTGGCAGGTGCCACCCTCATCAATGCCCTCATGAAGTATCCACACATAGACGTTCACATTTATAAATCAGCCCCAGAATTTTCGGAGCGCGGGACTGCTGTGGGGTTGGCCAAAAACTCTCAAAATGCTCTTGATGAAATTGGTCCCTCGGTCAAGGATGCGTTGGTGGCTGCTGGGGCTGTTTCCATGAACTCGACGCGGGGAGCAATTGTAAGTTAATATCAGAGACTAGTACCCGAATTTATATGGGTATCGAGTTGATCATTTGATAGGCATCAGGTCCCAATGCAGGCAAAATCATATTTGACCTCGTAGCAGACGTCCCGCCCCAAGGAGTTCACCGGGCAGCTTTCTTAAAGCAACTTCTAGCACCCGTTCCGAGGGAAGTAATGCACAACAACAAAAAGCTAGTAAAGGTTGAAGATGCAGCTGATGGAAGTATTGTTCTATTTTTCAAAGATGGCAGTAAAGAGTACGCAGATTTACTTGTCGGCGCCGATGGGGTTCATGGGTATGTGCGAGAGCATATACTTGGTGCAGATCATCCTGCTTTGCAGCCTACTTTCGCTGGGTTCTGGGACTGTCGGGCTTTGGTACCCTTTTCGAAAGCTAAAGAGGTGCTGGGTGAAGAATGTTTCAAAGAGCATCGCCGATACGTATGGTCTGGAGGTAAGTGACTCGTTGATTACTTCCCATAATGCATATTGCTGCATTCAGAGAGCTCTGAGATAAGCGGTCGGGCGGTGCTATGGATACGGCCTGACGCATTGCAATTGTTGACTTGAGATATTCCAAATGATCCATTCTGACTGCCTCGTTTCACATAGATGGTGGTATGTTCATGCACGATGTGCTAGATAATGGCAAAATGGTGCAATGCGTGGCTTCCAAAGTTACGGACGAAGATTGGGACCCGAAAGAATGGAAAAGAGATCTCGATCGCGAGACACTCGAGAACGCCTTTGCATCGTGGACAAACTCTCCAATCGTCAAAAACATGATCGAGGTAGTACATCTACAAAATCCTTCGTAGCCAGAAACTGAATGACCACCAGCTCCTGCTACAAAACCCGGAGCTTCAAGCATTTGCTCAGTGGGACCATCATATAAATGCTCCTACCTTCTACAGAGGCCGTGTATGCGTGATAGGTGATTCTGCGCACGCAATGACCCCATATCACGGCGCAGGTGCGGGTCAGGCTATCGAGGACGTGATGATCCTGGAGACACTACTCGGTGAAGTGAAGGAGCCTTCTCAACTAGATGCCGCTGTCAAGGCATATGATGAAGTGCGCCGGCCGAGGGTGCAGCGAGTTGTGCAATCAAGTAACAGCACGGGCCGGATAATGTGTGGTAAAGGTCCTGATGTCGGCCTGGATGTTGATAAACTTCGCGCAGCACTAGGCCCTCGCTGGGCATTTCTTCACGAGTTTGATCAGAAAGAACACAAGTTCAGGGCTTTAGCTTCATTTAGAGGGGATTAGATGAGACTTTCAAAGAAGTGTATATCTCTTCCAAGCATATATTATATCCAGCTTCTAATAAATAGAGTCAGAATCTGAATGCGACCTATGGGGGACAACCTCCTTAGAATTACCTAAATTAGACACGGACTTAGCCCTGTTATTTTCCACAATACTAGATCTATCTTACTATTCCTAGGCTGTGGTTTTTGCGCAACTTCCAAAGAATATACCAGTCAAGTCTACATGTAGTTTACAGTCAAAGATCCTTAGTATATCCTCATCATTAGCGAGACAAGCAAAGCAGTTCATACTTTGGCCTGCTCATACCATAGGCGGAAGATCATTCAGCAGCATATTTTCCCACATAGCATCAGTATACTCATCCATCAACGGCCCCATTGTCCCGTCCTGGAACTGAAACCACGTTGATCCTCCAAGATCACTGTCATGTCGATTATGGGTTGCGCTGCTTAATGACACGTCGCCCAGTTGCTCTAGGTGCGATCTGTAGTGCGCGGTACTGTTGTGACTGTGCGATGGATCTGTTCCCATGTGGTTTTCACCCATGGCGTTTCTGAGGGATGAATGTTGAAACTGCATTTCATCCATAGCGATTTGATCACTGAAATTGGAGTAAGGTGGCTGCGAAATCAGAGGGGAAACAGCCATTGGATCTGTCGGTAGTAAGGGCTCGTTCGAGTTTATCCTGCTATGCCCATTTGGCCTACCGCGACCAGCCGCTGATCCATCTTCGAATACCGGTTGAGAGTCCCCCGATGATGCCACATAATTAATATCTGATTTCGTCTCCTTCCCTCTGAGAGCCCTGGCTTGTGAGCGAAATTTATTCAAGATTACCTGAAAGGGGCCTAGCCCGGCTTTCATCACATCTACGCTATAGCCCTTGGAGCTATGTTCGTCGAGAGCTCTCCAGGTGCGTGGGACTAAGGGATCCAAAGGGTGGTAACATATTTCTAATAGCAGGTAGAATTCCAAATGAATAAGAATGTGGTTAGGTAGCTTGAAAATCCAAGACCATTTGGATATTCGAGGTTCCGCTGGAAGGCACAAGCCATATTCATAGGTTTCCAGAGCAACTGGCAGCAGGTTCCGAACCTGAATATTTTTGCCATTTCCAGCTATCATAGATGGCCGTTGAAATTTATACTCAATGCAGTGCCGAGATGGCTGATGTGCTAGGAGCCATATTCTGCTCTGAGAAAAAAGATTATTATTAAGTGTAATCTACCAGCCAAAATCCACCATTCAGGATTCAATCCCGTGGAAATATTAGGTCACCGCTAGATGTATGTATCTATGCATGTCTCTCTGGAGCCTAAGTTGATCCACAGAAACGGAAATAGAGAGAGAAAAGGGTAATAACATACCAGGCAAAGTTTGGCAAAAGTTATGATCATAAGGTCAAAGTCGTTCGCAGGGTCGCAGAATTTCAGATGTTCCTCTGTCAGTTTCTTGAGAGTTTCTCGAACCATACTGGCCTTGCGCTCGTGCAATGTAGCTCCAGACGACGACGGCCTTTGTTTCAACAACTTGAAAGTCAAGGACGAAATCTCAAAGTCGACGAGGCAGAAGGACATCTCCGTTCGACCAACTCTTGGCTTCTGATATTCGGAATCTATAGGTAAGATATCGCCGTCATTAACGTTTGTTGGAAGAAGTGTGTCGAACTGCGGTTCGGAAGAAAAGGGGAATTCTAGGTAGTTCTCGGCAAGTCTCCTTTCAAGTCTGTGGATATTCCACCACAACCTTCGTTGCATTTCTGTCTCGAAAGGGGTTTTTTGAAGAATTGCTCCATCTCGGTGTATACCAAGAGACTGAGCCATGCGTAACGCTTTACCGACTAAGCTGTACCTCGTATGTTCGTCATCCGTCCGATTGTGATACAAGTAGATAACAAGCGCCTGTAAAGTGACAATATCTGTTGAAGCAAGCACTTCCGGCTCTTCAAGTATCCGCTTGATCGCGCAGCTATACTTATATAGTTGTCTTTCTCTGCTCCCGGAATTAACCCGCTCGGTAAGAGGAGTGTCAACGATTGCTGCATGACAGATGCTAAATTTTAGAGCGTCCATACAAGGATTTATCTCATCCGAGTTTTCATTGATCTCAAACAAGGATCTCTCAGCTGTTGGTACATGTAAAATCATGAGTAGTGGCTGTGTCTTTTCTTTGAACACAAGCCAGTACTCCAGTAGCTCCTGGGGGTTAGGTTTCAGTTCTCGATACGATGTATCTGAACACGGGGAAATTGATTCATTGTCTTCATTCGCAGTTCCGCTTGGTGGCTGATTCTCTTGCTCCAGCCCAAAATTCAGGTCATTGCCTCCGAACTAAGGATAGTAGTTAGAACAGTTTCAGTGAACGCTCGAAATCACAAACCTTAGTGACGAATTTGTCCCAGGAGATGCTAGGTAGCGTAAAGCCATCCCCAAAGTCGCCCGTTACGCTTCCACCATTGGCAAGAATGCCACCCACATCCTCCTGGATACTGGATATGCTTTGCTCAGACTTAGGGTAAATGGAATTTCCTGACTGCGTTGCGGGAAGACCTTGAGTGGCCTCGCTCGTACCGTGCGAGTTGTTCAATCTTTGAATTGTCGCCTCCAGTGTAGCTAACTTCTTCTCGAGCTCCAAGTTCTTCCTCACTAGGTCCTTGTTATAAGGACCTCTTTTGTGAGAAGTCGGGGTTTTGTGAGATGGGTATACGCAGACGGCACTCAGTTTAGCACAGTTGGAGCAGCCCTCGATGCGTCTGTCACATTTTGTTTTGCGTTGATAACAACCTTGGCAGTTTGAAGTAGCAACTACCTTGGCTCTAGAATCACTTCTTAGAAGAGTGATTCCTGCATTCTCTATTGGTCCCTCGTCAGGAGTACCGGGAGCGTCCATGCCTCCGTGCCTACCCATGTAGCTCCGAGAAGGTTGGCGGCCACATGGAGCAATGCGTGCTTGAGGCGGGATCTGATTACAGTTGGCACACGTCCAACCTCGTGACTACCTATAAGATATGCAGGTCGTACATCCGACTTGATCCTTTAAAGGGTTGTGGATGGAGAGTGCAGTACGTTGTTCCAGGCTTAAACTGAGTGGCGGGCTGGTAATATTTTAGCGCCAAATCCTTTTAGACTTTGTGGCGTTAAAGTTTCAGTGGTCGATCGCTATAACATCTTCACAGCACTATCAAGTCGACAGTATGCTCAGAGATCCTCTTTAGTAGCAAATATTCATTGTATTCAAGTTTTGTTTTGGTGTCTAGAATATTTGCACTGCCAAATAAATTTGTGTCGCCATATCCTTCGTCCTCATATGCTTTCCTGGGCTAAGAGGTTTTAGCTTTCCTTTAGTTCTTTAAATATATTAAGATTATTGTTGGTTTAAACATAGTTCACTGGTCTGGCCTAGGAAATCGATCGTGATCGTGGTTACGTGGTTGCATTTCTAGGTGTAGAAGAGGTTCTAGCGAAGGTTGCGACGATGAAGTGATATGCCGGATCGCTGCTTAGTCATCGGGGCTAAGGTCACGTGGTATACGTGACAACAACCCCACAATTATCATAATCTATAAAGGTATTATTAGAGAGATATTAAGGATTTAGATTAATTTAATAGTATCAATAATAATATCTTAGGAGTGAAGTTGGTGCGCTCGCCAAAAATAGATTTTTGACACTAGTTATTTATAAGGTTGTAACATCCATCCACCTCTGCCGCGCACTACGGTCTAAACATCGATATTAACTATCACAACGATAGTCACCGCGACAACAACCACACCCCAGCACTTTCACTGAAAGTGTGACCACCAGCGTGCCAACTACCATTTACCATCAGCATAACAAGCCCGATGACAGTCACTGCAATTTCAACCATTGTAAATACGCCACAGCCAATAGTACTCACAGACAAGGATACAATTACGTCGACACTGATCATAACACTGCCTCCTATAACCACCACAAAAACTCATTGTCGGGGGAAGGCCTGACTCCTAGACCAATTGCCAACCCCAAAACGTATCTTATTACTCAGGCTAATGAGTACTGACTCCATACCATTAATGTGCAGATATTTAGCTTTCCTGAATCGAGACACCAAAAAGGGCAGCGGAACGACACGAAAACAACAGACAGGCTCTTGCTTTATGACATCACTGAGAATTAATGTATACGACCATAATAATTTCTTGAGCTATTGATTGATATTCAAGCAAGTACGACCGAATACCCTATTCAAGGCTGGTTGTCCCGAGGCGAATGCACTCAAAACAAGATCTCGATCAACCAAACGCGAATTCCTCGTTCCAGTTATTCAAATAACGTGTGCCCTTGTCATGATACTGCGATATTTGAATTATATAGATAAGATAATGCTCCGCCCGAAGAGGGGAATTGAGAGCGGCTTTGGCCCGCCCTCGATCAGGGTTACAAGCCATACATATATTCAATACACATGATAAACATTGATATCGGCCGAGAGCCTTTGTACAGGACACTGCCATATCGGCAGTACTGTCGAGGACAGGTCCGCATTTCGTAGTTATAGACCCGAAGAATATATAGATGCAAGCACATTTTAGATGTCGACCAGAAAGATATGGACCACCATATCCACGGCCAAAGGCTCAAGATATCGCGGTGAGTAATCGGACGAAGAGAATCAATCTCCTTGCTCCAAAAATAGGCCAAAACCACAGATTGAACCGATCTCCGAAGAGAAAGGGGATAAGGGCCAGAGTGTTTTGCAAGGTTTCTGAACCAACTTGGTTCATAGAGATAAATCAAAGAGATAGAAGTTGAAAGGAAGGGGGTAGAGGGTATAAACTTTGAATTATACCAGTGGTGGTAATATATGTTACATTCTAGACCGTTGATCCCATCAAGCATTATAGCTCGTATACCATAACCCGTAAAACACCGTAAACCCATTATTTCGCTAATCGTATCAATCATTAAAATCGGAGAATGTCGTAAAATATCGTAAAATGTCATATCTGAATGCGAACGTCCGGCTGGCCAAGTTTTTCGATCCCGTAGCAATATTTTCCAAGGCGTCCTTTGTATGATCCGAACGCATACTTTGCGTTTTGTCCATCCGTCCGAGCTACCATGAGCCTGGTTGTTAGATCGGCCTTAGATCTTGGGGCTCTGAAGGCAGCATCATTATCCAGAATATGACTGGCGTGCATGAAGCTGATGATTTCCGCGAGGCAGTCAACGTTATGTGGGAGGTGCATAAGGCGTCGATTTGGGACGAGCATAAACAGGCCAAGGACGTAGAGGATCAAGAGTGCAATGCATATGTAGAAGGCCGGTAAGTTTGGGATCATGCGGACCTCGTTTGCCGGAGTCGTAAGTGGGAAAAATATTCCCCCAGCGAGAATTGGAAGGAGGATGAAGACGAATGACAGCAAAGACATCGTGGCAATACGTAAGTGTCCACCGGAAAACGCATTGAGGGTGCAGCTGATAGGAAGGTCGGCTGTATAATCGAGAAGCAGTGATCGATCGGCAGTCTCCCCTTGTGATTTCCCCAATTCCGCCCATGGCTGTAGCTTTCGTAGAATCATGTCAAGGCTCTGGAACAAAAGATAAAGCAGCATACCAATCACAGCAGGTATGAAGCTGTAAAAGAAGTTCGCCGGAGAAAACCCATGAATGTCCGCTACGGCTGACAACAGCGGTTTGAAACCCTTCCGAATGGCTGTCGAGGGGAGGAATGATACAATTATCAAGGCCGTCAACGTTAGGAAACTAGCCACAGCCCAAAAGACAATGAAGGTGTCGCGAAGATACCACGTGATATATGCAAAGCGTGCTTGCTCACTGTACTCCCCAATGTTGCTCTCAAGATCGGCTGATGGTTCGATACTTTTCTCCTGGACCTTGCCAGATTCAAGAGTGTACCGCCGTGTCGCTGTACCCTCCTCTCCAATGCAGTAGAAAAGCCCCTGGCTTCTATGTTGTGTCATCCAGAAGCCGATGCGTTCACTTCTCAAAGACAACCGATCTCGAAGCTCGTCCTTGAGCATAGTATCCGTTCCGTTATAATCCCCCAAGCAATTACTCCGTGGCAATAAACAAATTACGTCCGCCAACGAACGAGGATCCCACATCAAGCCGGTCCTGCGGTGGAAGAAAAACAAGGCCAAAATTGCAGCCCCCATGAGAACCAGTATATATATCGCAACCAGTGTCCAAGCAATGCCTTGCACAGTTGTCCATCTCCAAAGGCCTTCAACCCGTATAACTGAAAACAAACAACTTTGAAGGGGTATCGTAAAAACTGACAACCAGAAAAATGTTTTTGAAAGAACAATGCTTCTCGGACCTTGCAATCCAGGCCATAGCATGGTCCGTGGAAATATTCCAAGAAAGAGGGCGTTGGCCCTGCTCTCTGCATCGTCCATTGCCATCAGCGTATAGGGCAAAATTCTCGTAATAGCGGACATGACGCATTGCACATATACAAATATACAAGCCGCAAGAATTTGCGGCAAAAAAGCAAAGACGAAATATTGGCCTCCATATACGCCAGAATAGTCCGTGAGACCTTTATGGTAGGTCGAATAGATTGCCGTAAACATGAGGGCAGCAATCATCAATAGACATGATATTGAGAGCATGATCATGGAAGCAGGCCGTAAGATCGTTGGTACAAATGTGAGTTTTGGATACCGCGGGGAGTGTGTTGGAGGAGGCACAGGAATGAAGTTTGGAGGTCCAGCTGATAACAATTCTCGAGATGGAACGAGTGATGGGGCTGAATGGCCTGATAAAGGTCGGGTTGCATTGTAGTTGAACAGTCTTCCTCCTTCGGAAGTTGGTGTAGGAGTTGAACGATGTTTTCTTATCAAGGCCAATTCTTCTCTTCGCGTAGAGGGCTTGTACCCTAGCCCAAGATCCGGGACAATTCGATCGACGGGATATGACTCGGAGCTCGTCGACGTGCTGGGTCTCTGTATGGGTTTGGCATTCTCTTCTCGAGTCAATTGGTCGATTGCGTATCGTATATACGGCGTATCGTCGATGGGTGTGGGTGGGCTTGGGTCGACTTTCATTCTTTCCGCTTTCGCTTTATTCGAGGACGCAACCTCCGTGCTCCTAATCTGCTCTTCGTCGAAACGCACAACCAGGGGAGTGTTTGAAGCATATGCAGCTTCATTGACGCCAACGGAGTGTCTGTTCTGATCGGGTCTCATGGTTTCGAAGCTTCCTTCTGGAGAAATTTTCCTTGATGAAGGAGTGATCCAACGAATCACCGTCGCCGGGGATACACTCGAGGTGAGGGAAGGGCAATCATCGATTTGAGCTTCGGAGGGATTGATAGGAATTTCATGGGTGTGTATCCTTTGTACTTGAGGGCGATTGTCTGGATCCAAGGTCAGCGGGGGGAAAGGCAAAGGAGACAACGCATAGCAGACTAGACCTACGATGTACACGTTGAACGTCTAGCTCTCCGAGATTCATTCTGTTTCTGTTTCTGTATGGAGCTACACCACTGGTTGCATATGCAAGATCTTGTGGAATGCATCATTAGGGTCGGTATCTGACTGATAAACAGTCTGTTGAGCGGCTGTTGTGAGAGATGGCGGGGAGTACGAGAAGGCTGGGTGAGTTTTTTTCAGCCACCAGAATAAAAAGTGACAACCTCAAACATGCTACCCAACAAGCTTGATGATATTTTAAGACAGGCAGGGGTTAATCCAGCCATTTTGATAATCTCTGCCATCATACAACAGGTTTGAATCGGGAAGCACGGAGTACTTGTAGAGGACAGTGCCAGTGCTTGGGAGAAAAATGGAAGAAGCTGAATTTAAGCGCAAAGACTTTTGGGGTCACGTGTATGACAACCCCTTTTCAGCCAAATTGTCCACAGAGTCAGAGCTCATAACCAGACAGTACTCCCACCGTGGACTATATTCTATGCTACGGTTAATGAATTTTATGTGTTTAATACTATTCATGCAAAGCCGGTTTATCGTCTCCAATGTACTTGTCTGTAGCGACCAACACAGGATAACAAGGTACTTATTCGGAATCATGTACCACTTATTGTGGCACAATCCTCTCCAGGAAGTCGCACATGTCTCTGAACTCATTGCCAGAGGTGGCATGTCCTAGCCCTTCATACTCATGCACTTCTAGAGCTTCTTCTCCAACAGTCTTACCAATCCTTGCCCTGGCGTCTTTGAACACTCTCATCTAAGAAAGCAACCATGTTAACAATCGAAGATAAATCAAGTGTTACGGGAGAAGAGAATTTTAGAGACACATAACTTACCGGAACAAGCATATCCTTCGTCCCATGGCCCAAAAACACTTTCATTTGGCCTCGCACGTAGCTCTCCCTCTCCCTTCTAATCTTCTTCCCCTGGGGCAAATACCCCGACAAACCCACAATGCCTCCAAATTGGCCCTTATATCGTCCAGCGAGTCCAGCAACAACACTCACAGCACAGCCCTGACTAAAACCCCCAACAACGATCCTATTCAGATCGACCCCTCTCTTAACCTCCTCGTCCACTAGACCATAAATATACTCCACGCTCTGCAATATCTCATCCTCGTCCTCTTCTTCCTCCTCCTCCTCCTCCCCTACAGCAGCAGACGAGCGTCCAACAGGGATAGGGGAAAAGGCCGTCGGCGTGTACCATGCTTGTGTCATGGCCTCATGATTATGTGGCGCATTGGGGAAAATCCAAGTCAGATGAGGCAATTTGTTGGCGGCGTGAAACTGCTGGGCTATGTCTACGATAAATGTGTCAACTTGACGTAACAAGTGTCAGGTACTTCATACCGGCAGAGATATCACTCACTTGTCCAGCCATCAGCATCATCGCCAAACCCATGAAGAAAGATCAAGGTGGCCGGGTTGGATGCCGATGCTTTTGTATCCGGGGCATCAATGCGTTGCAGGGGAGCGCGCCTCTGAGCCATTGCGGCGGGTTCGGTGGGTTTTCTAGAGGCACGGATGTCTGGCCGGGGTGGGACGCAAATCAAAACTATATTGGTATCGTATAGATTTCGAAAAATCCGTGTTCATCTGAATATTACTGGGTGAAATGGAAATCTGCCTTTTAGAACGCCTTGTTACCATTGGCAATTTTAGCCTTTGAGTGACAGACAGATACTGTAACCCCGCGTTTTGAGTGAGGAGTCGGGTCAGATACAAGGGTCTTGAAAGTGGGCGTGGCGCGGAAGCGGAGTCAAGTTTCCTCGGACCAGGCATCCAGTTAAAAGTGTAGGATATACGTACGAAGCTTCTAACAGGGGGTGAATAATTTATCAAGCTCTCCACCGCCCGCAACTGGATTCCACATCTTCATGCTGCTCTTCAGCTATAAACTGCTGGTATTGATTCTCCACGGAGGTACTTCGTACAGTAAGTTTTACTTCACATAATGGTTCGAGTTGCTGCGCCACTGCTAGCTAGGTAGGGCTAATTATTGCAGGTGCGGCTCAGGTTCGGTTCGTGAAGGCCCCATCATGTACCTACTATAAGGTACTCCGACTCCGACTCTGTAGACACAAAAGGCGGCAGTGGCACTGTTAGTAGGTACTTGCCTATAGACAGTGCCAGTACCACTGCCGTTCTAGTTATAGGACTCAGATAACGTATTCATAAACTAGCTTCGTTCAAGCAGGCCCTATAGAAAGGGGGCAATGTGATAGCTAAGCCAGCAACAATACACTATGTAAGTATCTAAACCACCCCTACCTCGTCCTCGTTCGTCGGCAATGTGGTTGCATTCGCATTATTCCTCAAATAAGAAAGGCTTTCCTCTTAGTTAAGACGCTAGCGGAGCTACAACGTCCTGTCTTCCTGTCTTCTCGTCGATCCGAATATGGATGCAAGTAAACATTTCTGCTTAGCCTCCACAGATGATTTCCTCCATATATGACTTGTGGGGTTTTGTATATATCTTTGCTGGAGATGTCCGTATTCTATTTTGTGTAAAGTGTCAATTTAATTCATTTCAATCGCGTTTATGCCTCATAATTCGTTGCCCGTCTCATCGTCACTCTTGACTAAACAAATACAGTTCAATACCTCCCTAAAAACACCAGCTCCACCATCATACACCTATTCCACACTCTCAACCCAAATTCGAGGTCAATTTCATCCGGATTCTGACTTTTCTCTAAATCCAAAAGTGTGATCCACCTACTCTTAATTTTCTTCCAAGTGGCAACTGTTCCATCAATCCTGATAATCTGCGATTGCCAGTTCTCTTGCGCGCATTATCTGACCAGCCATCATCTTGCGCTCTGAACGAGAGTTTATGTTTGTACCCTCTACGGTCGAGCTCGAAGAGAGCGTCATACATAACCTTAGTAAACTCGGCGAAAGACTCTTACCGCTTGCTGGCTTGGTCTCCATCTATCGGCGAGGCGTACATAGATCCGGAAAATATTTTGAGGAACCCTGGCGACTGAGAGTATCTCCAAGAAAGGCTTGGGTTATATCTACCAGAGGTTCTCCTTCCGGAGATCTATACAGTATCGCTTTATTAGACATGTGTTTCAACTTCGGAATAACAAAATCCTGTTTTATATCTCCCGAGACAATTAAGGATGCAATACAGCCTCCTCGTATGTGTTAACAAGAAAAACGATGATTGGGGAAGATAACATACATTCAGCAATAGTTCCTGGATCCAGCCACCGCCGTAGCATGCACTAGTGAGCTGTGAGATCCGTTAATACCCTCGTAATATACAAGGAAGAAATTGACATACGAGCATTACCGGCACATATTTTGCGAGGTCGATCTTCCTTACGGATTGCTTAAGCTTCCAAGGTCCGCCTATACCAACACCCATGGTTCCTTGGAATCCGTGGCCAAAGATCATGACCAAGAGGTTCTGCTTGTTTATTGAAGCGGCCGTAAAATAATCCTTAGGGAAGTTTGGATGGTGAGATGCAAATTAATATCTCTCGCGCCATTGAAACCATGAGACTTTTCACTATTGATTTCGTTGAGGATTCTATCATCCAGCACGACTTTCCGCCTGTTGTAAAGGCTTCCGTGCCGATATCTTTTGCATTTGCGTAACAGACTTTCAAAATCCAGAGCATTTAACCATGTCTGGTCCCGTGTCTAGTTTTGAAATAGATGGTAGAAGGCTAAGAAATCACTCAACATCCAGCCAGATCCGCGAGGAAGAGCGTCGTCTTGAGTGAGGGTATAAATAGCCAAGATTCTGGTATTCTTTGGCACGTCAGGGGGGACGCTGGTTGCATCTCGCTCGTACGTGATTGGCTCATTCGCGGTGGACTTAAAGACTCCACCGAATGCTCCTGGCTGCATATCTGTCTCTGACCGCTTCAGAGTATTCATCGTATCGTCGAGATCAGTTTGATTATTGACTGATGGCTCTGTTGCCGTTACTGGGTAGCGATAATTTCTCCAGGGCGCAGTCTGAACAGCCATGGTGAGAATAAATTTTGACCTTAAGGGATAAGTATAAGGTAAAAAGAAGTGAACAGAAATAAAAGAGAGGGGTTTATAAATGCGGCCTATTTTAAATTGTGATTTTTTTAGTAGCGGCACGGATAAGATAGGTCACAATCTAGTACGAACTTGCTAGCATGGCATCACTTGTAGTTATACTTGGCATTGTTTTGATTATAGGCCTTATATTATAATTGAGCAATAAACCCACTTAAACTTAATACCTCTTAAGTTATATCCTTTTTCTGGAAAAGAAAAAAGAATTGATTTATCTATTTAGTATAACTTATATCTCTTAAGTTTTATCTAATATCCTAAGTCGAGCTTTTAATACCTTTACAGTCTTAGAATGCTCACTTTGAAGCCATACCCCTAAATGCGAATACAGACTAGTCACACCTTGGCCAGATGACTCGTCATAGTTGTGGGATGTAAAGCGGTCAATCAAATCAGCTGTCTTTTTGAGCTCGCTTAACACTAATTGATTTCTGATGATAGCTTGCAAGTTTTGGTCCTCGATGTTGAAGGTACCCATTGAGACAGGCACCTGTGCTACGGCAAACCCGGTGGATTGAACTAGCATGGGCGAGCTTGCCGTATCGGTATCAGTCGTCGCCCCAGATGGCGGAGATGAGGATGATGACGCACTACCCGATGGTGATGAAGCTGCCATTGCATTGCAGCCGGTCGACCCAGCCGCCTGCTGATACCAAATGAGAATGCGAGAAATAATGGATGCATGGACCATGACTCGATGGCCCGATTTAGCACATGGACACTCCAAAAGCCGGTTGAGACGGTCGATCGCATCTCTGTTAAAAATGAGCACTTGGTCCAGTTGTGCAGAGACCGTATCTGAGCTTACTTCGGGGGCGTGAAGGAAAGGCCCTGGACATATCAAGTCTCGGAAGAGCTCGTACGAACCCCTGGGGCAGCTGTGGGAATTGGGAGTATCAAAGCTCCTGCTCAAATTGGTGGCAGGTTCCAGAGCGGAGGTTGAGAGGGGTGGAATATCTAGACTGCCCCAGATATCCAGCTGAGGCCATTCATCGACCGAGAACGAAGTCATAAACGGTGGACCGGAATGTTCCTGTTGATAGATGCTTGACGGAGCGTGGATACTGGAAGGCACTGGAGGGTTGTTGGACACTGAGCTCGCGGAACTGAACTGCGCAGATCTGTTGACATCCCGAGACTGCTCAGATCCCCCGATTGTAAGATTCTCACAGCTTCCGGCAGTCCAAGTCGCACGCTTTTTGCATAAAAAGCTGTTGCTTATATCAAGGTCAGGCCCCCTCTTGCGCGGTGGCTTGCCAAACTTGCGCGATATCCCATAGACACAGATCAGGCCGAGCGCAATACAGCGACTACACTCAGGCTGACCACTCGGATTGCACCTGACCTTGGCGTTTCCGCATTCCTCACAAGAGGATCGTAGCTTTGGGACTTTGGGTGTGTGGTTTAGGTCCGCGATGAGGGTTGAAGTTGCAGGCATAGTTTATGACAAAGACTAATACTGTGGGGTGTTTTTCTGGGTGGCAGTGGCAGAGTCTCCAATGGATGATATCTCCAATCAGCCTTTAAAATAGGCTGGCTGTCTTTCAAGCAGACAACAAAAGTGTACCAGTGTACAGGGAACAGCCGAGGTTTTGTTCGCTTTTGCCGATCTCAGATACCACGAATTCTATGAATCGGGGAAGTTGACGAATCTCAGGGTACGAGAAAAGGCGTATTTGATAGCTTTGTTGGTTCGAATTAAACATAGCGAGATACTATTAGCGGGTCTGCAACTTTCGGGAACCGAAAGTCAATCCCTATTGGTCAAAGAGCAGGACAAGGGCCACCACCATATAGTGTATATAAGTTGGAGGTATTTCGCATGTTGATGAAAATGAATAGAGTAAATTATAACTGGTCTTCGTTGTCTTTACATTTGTTTTTTTTTTTTGATACATTACCGCACACTGAAATGGTTAAAATCGTGGTGGCTGGTGGCACGGGGCGTAGGTAGCCCTCCAATCGCAGCTATAAAGAAAGCTAACTTTACCTATAGAAGTTGGCCAGGAAGTCATCGATGCTTTAGTCGCTGCGAAGAAACACGAGATAACAGTTTTTAGTAGAAATGTAAGTGCTGACGCCAATGCCTCATTTTTTCCCTTCGTAAATACTGAGATGACTCAGGAGGCTCCCATTGGTGATAGCACACCCGGATTCATATGGCGTGCTATAGACTATAACGACAAGGGCGAGCTAAGTGAAGCCTTACGAGGAATTCACACGGTCTTATCTTTCACCCAAACACTTTCAGATCCAGAAAATACCACCGAGAAAAATCTAATAGATGCTGCTATTGTCGCCGGGGTAAAACGCTTTGCACCAAGCCAATGGGGAAGGTAAGTTGATAGGGATCCATACTGCAGGCATGCCATCTAACAGATGCAAAGTGCTTCGACAGTAGGAATGCCTTGGTGGGTAGGAAAAGATAAGATTAAAGAGTATCTGGAGAAGGTGAATGAGAAAGAGAAAGTAAAAATGCCCCATTACGGTTTCATATACTCATACTTGTTCTTACGCTGCGATTTTAGGTACTTGAGTATACCTTGTTCCAGCCAGGCCTGTTTTTGGACTATCTGGCCACTCCGTACAAAACGGCCAAACATCTCGAGCCGTTAAATACGATGATCGATTTCCAAAATCGACGTGCAATTGTTGTTGATGGTCATGATGCTATCATGACCTATACTACGGCTGAAGATCTTGCTGCAGTCGTCGTCAGGGCAGTCGACCTCGATGGCGAATGGCCAATGATTGGCGGTATCAGCGGCGATAAGCTGCCAATCTCACAGATACTCCAGATTGGGGAGAAACTTCGAGGTGAGGCTTGCCATATCCACTCAATTCTGGGCTGCTCACATGGGATTACAGGTCACCCCTTTACCATTGACAAGGTCAAACTCGAAGATCTTGAGAATGGAATTCTCACGGCATCATGGACACTAGAAGCGAGCCATCCAACAGTTACAGGGGATCAGGTTGACAAGATGGTGAAGACTGTTCTGATTGGCACGCTTATAGGCAGCGCAAAAGGGGCGTGGAATGTATCGGACGAGGTCAACAAGCTTCTGCCGGATTTCAGGTTCACTCAAATAGAAGACTTCCTCGCCAAGGTTTGGCATGGCAAGCCATAGTGAAAAATGTTCGTACTGAGCATACAATGGGTGCAGCATCATTCAATCTTTTTTGAAACACTAGTTATATGGTTATATCCCTTTGAGTAATATCTGCTTTAGAGTCCGTACTGGTAGGGCCGTCTCCCACGTTCCCCGCAGCGTTGTTAGCCTAAACACCGCTGCAATTTACTTGCCAAAGAATGGAAAATTTTCAAACCCCATTTGGAATATGTCGGCCGGCATATGAACACAGCATAACCTTCGCTTCTGGATAGAATGGGAGAGGGGGGTTGCTCGCTGAACCTCGAAGTTGCGTGACGACCCTTTTCTGATACCACATACAGGCCAGAGAAGTCATGAAGAACGAGAGCCTACAAAGCCATCATTGCCGAGAATACAAGGATCATAATGATTCTGAAAGTTAAGTAGGAAAGCCTAGAAAGCATACACCGGAACATAGCAAGCTGTTTAGTAATACTCGCGGATTGTCATTCAGCGACCTAGCAGCCTTCCTTTATCGTATAATTGAAAACCTCATCAAGACGTACTCGAGGATAGATCAGGCATATATTCGATATTATATATTTACAAGATAGCAGCGTTGTTGGAATATTTTGCAGGCTCTCATCGAATCATTCCCTAGACAGTCCATGTGCTATTATTGTTCACGAAATCCCTGAATGTCTGAGCAGTATACCCTACAACACCTGAAGGCACCAAACAGAGAGTTCTGTGGTACCTAGAAAAGTAATAGGAGGTATGTGATAGGAATTCTGCCGCGTTGCTCGCAGGCTTAAAGTATAACAAATGAATAACCTTTTGTTTTCCAACTATTCGATCCTTGCTCTTGGGAGGGACCAGATGTAGCGCTACAAAGTTAAGGCCCACCAAATTGATGCAGCATAAAGGAATCAGATTGTTTTCCTACGCCAATCTCTCCACTGACTGCTAGCTGTATGAAGCCATCACAGAGTTGCCTTTCGCAGATATATGGATCTTGTATTCACTAGAATTATTCAACCCAAGTCTCACCCGCGCCAGCACATTATCCAGATATTATATCCCAATGGTCATCCAGGCCAAAGCTTCAGTGAGCCTCATGCGGTACAAAGAGACCGTAGTCTGCAATGTACGCCAACACCAAACAGAATCCATCATCTATCATCAATGAAGGGCAGCAATTTCCCCTTCCCGTGGAACATTATTGGTCTCATATGTCTCTCAGGATGTGACTTCGCCTTGCTGTTCGGTGTCTTCGTAATAGGGCAAGTCAAAGAAAGGCTGTTCCGTTGACTTTCGAACCGAGTCGTCCTTGAATGGAAGAGATGGCATGCCCGCTTCAGGTGACGAACCGTAAGAGTATTCTTCAGTGAGGGAATCCAACTGCAGTTCGATGGTTCGTGACCATGCTTGTTTTTCGCAGATGGCATATATCATAATTACACTGTAGAACCTATGAGCAAAGGGCAAAGCTTTAGTCCCGAAGGCAAACTCACGCAAAAATAACAGCGCATGCCAAGCAGCGCTGAGCCCTTCGGGTGGGCCATCCTGCTACTGATTGTTCCCTTTGGAGCATGGCGGGTAATAGTAAAAAGGAAGCCTCTTATATGAAACCGAGAGAATGTAAATTAGAGGGCTAGCTGAAGTGAAATATATTCTCGGTATCTATAATTGTTTTAAAGAGAGAAATGAATGTGATTACAACGAAAGGAACGAGTGTATATCGAGACTTGCCAGAAGCGCCGGAGCTTTGGAGAGACAAGCAGGGCTAGGCTTTACTTATCAAGGATGTGGATGCATGTTCATCGGATCAGCCTAGATGACTTGAGATGATCTCTCTGTTGACCATTGGAACATCAACTGTATCGAAAGACTGTGCACCGACTTAGCGAGGCGCTGAAACACGAGGCGTCGTGGCCTCACGGCTGAAGGAGGCTTGGATTCAGAAGTGAGACGAAGAAGGTGGGGGCAGTTTGCTAGGCACTACTCCGGAATAGGGCAGGTCTTACGGAGCAGTGTTCACTTAGAGGTCGAAAGCTGGTAAGATAGGACGAGCCGCTAGTGGTGGAATTTGGGACAGGCAAGTAATAAAGTGTTGTGTCGTGGGATGGGATGCGAGAGGATGAAATGCGGGATGCTACTGTCCCGGCTCAAATGATCCAAGAAATAGTCCGTTACGGAGGTACAATACAGTATGCTATTTTACCTTTTCCCCCAACAAATAAACTCCGGCATCATATACAGTAATCCTTTCACTCTCCTAACCGCCTCATTCACCATTACCATTTATCCCTTCTTGAGCCCGAATCATCCTCTGCCGTACGTGCCAGTGACCCCTCATCACATATGCGGAGGCCTGGCGGGCACACGCACCTCCGCATGAGGCCGAACACTGCCGGAATAAACAGCACTATCGATCCATCACACATCAAAGTGGTAGTGGTAGTGTCCGTATGGATCATTGGAGTGAGGATCTTCCTCTGTAGGTTCCAATGGACTGGGATGCCAAAGAACTGGAGACGTTCATATATCAAATGGGACGTGACGGCACTAGAATGTCTTCTGTGGTGTTCATACTACTAATAGAGTAGTCGGAAAATCTACGAGTAATGTCGAGCTTATATGTAAATTATAATTCGGCTCAAAATGTTACAAGTGCGCCGAAACTGTTACCTCAGCATATCCAGCCTCATACCCTGCTCCTAGTCCGCAACACAGGTACATTATATGAGGACTAAGTCGATCCTCATGATCGCGAGTAAGCGCGCACGACTATAACGAGGAAGCTGACAAGCGGAATTCGCCAAATTATGGTTTTGTCAACCGAATGTCTCACTTCTTCGACCTTGAGCCCATTATTATACAATATTCCTCCCTACCTAGGTAGAATACCATATCCGCAAAGTCCACCCGCCACGCAGGCGTGTCCGCAACCCTAGACCTTCGAGGCCAGAAGCCCGAAACCGAGCGAATACTGATGTCACTGGAGCAACTGGGTTGCCTGTCTCGCGATGGATGATTTAACTTGGGAGGCTTGAAGTATGGGGTTACGTTCTCAAGGTTTCCTGTTGTATATCCATATGAGCATTGGCACTACATCAGGAGTTACAACTTACTCTTCAATCATCTGGGGGTCCGTTACGGAGAATACGCGGTCCATATGGAAAATTGCTTCGATATACATATGGAGCAGTTGGGTGGACAGGTAGGTAAGTTGCTGGGGTCTCCGCCGCGGGAGCAATAACACCGGATGTGGTAAGATTCCCGATCTGTTGATAATCCCAATACTCGTCGTCGAATCGGAATCCTTCAAGCTGCTCGAGGAAGCTTTTGAAGTATGAGAACCACGATTCTTCGCAGGGAGAGGTCAGCAACTCCCCCAAGGTGATGGCGAATTGCAGAACGCGTTTGAGACAAACGCGGATCATAGACATATCGTGAGGCTCGTTCAGAACAGGACTACGGACGACGGTCTTGAAGGCCATGCAGGCTCCTGTGACATCATCCAAAGCACTCCAGATCATCGACTGGCCCATTTCACTTTTATATGGAAGTGAAGCTTCCTTCAATTCGGAGGTTTTTAGACATTGCACTTTATATGCCGCCATCCTCAAAGCTGTCGCTACAGTGGTACACAGGTTCTCTAGAAAGAACTGGTATTCTGCATGGTCAAGGACCCAGTCGACGTTGTTGGTATTCCAGGTTTGTATCTCAGATACAGTCAAGCATTTGTTGAGCTGTTCTTCGAACTGTTGTTTTGACCAATCCGCGATTCGCAAAGCGTCGAGCCTGGGGTCTGATTCCCTCAATTTCATTGAAGAGAGTAAATTGAGAACGTTCGTCAAAGATGCCATCGTAGATCAGGTCCATAAGATGAATATCAAACTTATCCAGGAATCAACCGAGAATAAAATACTCGGATGACGGCTTTAACCGTGTAGAGCTGGGATGCTAATTGAAAAAAGCCGGTAAGTGAGTCAAATGCCAAGTTTTACCTGCCAAAGTGCATTTCAGCAAGGGGCGTGTCTTGTTTAATTGTTCTGTGGCTGCAGGGCATATTGAAGGCTCCCCTATTGGCGTGCATTTATAGAAAAGCGGTGAAGATTTTCTGACAAGGCTTACAAGAAGCGGGGTTGAGCCGAATCCTGGGGAATGGTAGTGATCACCGATTTTGGATAGTGGCCTAACTGCCAGTGACCTTTGGTGTTACAGCGTTAGTTAGCCACTGGGGTGACTTGTCAAATTCCTCCTGCGAAGGGCGCCTAGAATATGCCACATAATTACTTGCATGCAACCACAAGCCAGTTGGTGGGATTTTCTGTAAAGAGGCCTTTAGAAATGCTTCATCAAAAAGAATGCGAGTTCTCGGAATTTTATATGTCAGGAGTTGCTTACTCTTTATATGCGGCACCTGCATTAATCAGGAGCAGGCGGACAACTTGACCACGACCTCGGGATTGGAAATTGGAGTAGTGAGTCAGAGGAACACATAATGGTGTAGATATGCTACGTGAGGAGAAAGAGGAGGGGGAGGGGAAGAGGCAATTAATAATCGGCTTGACTGGACTGAGTCTTGCTGAAGTCTAGAAGTCGCGACTTATAGACCCCCTTAGCCATCCTCTAGCTTTGAACCGAACGCACCTCACACAGATATTAACTTCGAGTCCTTATGTACGTCTTGAGCATCTAGCTACAGCTCTAGGAGTAGTCCTGTAGCAAGAGACATACATCATGTTCTTCCGAGACATGTTCTCATGGTGCCTAAAAGGATAAGAAGTCATTGATTCTCATGCGGGAAGGAGTATAAATATCTTTATACTTCGTACCTGTCATCAAGCGTAGATCGGAATGGTAATTCCTGCGTTTGTTATAGGTACCTAGGTATATATTATATATGTATATATCGGGTTGTTGTTCCGAGAATGGCACGGGGGCGGCGGAAAGTGAGCTAAAGACACACCTCTATATTTCCTACGCTAAAACCTCAATATGGACAGCTTCGATTTTTGCGACTGCTCTGAACCCCAGCAATTCTTGCAGCCAGCCAGCCAGCTCAACGCTCTTCCTCTTCCCAGCCCTGCCAATATCTCTCTCCTCCTCGATGGCCTTCCTTCAATCCACCATGGCTCCATCTCAACAACCAGCTCCAGCTCTAGTTCCACCTCCAACACCAACAGCTCAACCGCCCGCATCCCCCGAATATCAGTCTTCTTTCTTCTCTCAGCGATCCAGACGTCAATTGGGCCTCTTTTTTGCAGGTGCGGGCTTCTTTGCCGTCACTACGGCCATAACCCGGAGATCAATTGTTCGGCGTTACAAGGCGACTATTCCTAAATTCTACCAGCCAAACAATCGACCAGGCTTCGAAGTCAATGGCGCAATGGAGGCATTCGAGGCCTTGAACATAGCTACCATAAATGTGCTCAGCTTTGGTATGATGGCTGGTGGAGGATTACTGTGGGCATTGGACATATCTTCGATAGATGATATGAGACGGAAGGTCCGGATAAACATGGGGGTTAATGCTAGTCCGGAGGACAGTGAAGCTGAGAAGGAGATCGAGGAGATGATTGCCTCAATTCTGGAAAGGAAAGAGTTTAAGCACTTGCTAGGGAAGGGGAAGGAAAAGGAAAGGGAGGAAGAGAAGGAGGAAAAAGAGAAGCAAGAGACAAAGGGCGAAGCAGACCAAAGATCATAAGATGGTGCCTGGCTCTGCTATAGTTCCGTCAACAACGACCAACGCGTCGGGCTCCCAGGACATCCTACATACATGTGCTATTTCTATAAAAACCCCCCACTCCGCTCACTTATCGGCCCTGGAGCGCATGGTAATCTTCGAAATCCGGAATTTGGGTTCGATCCATCCGCTCCACACTCGTACTGCCGAAAGGAGGTAGACTTGCATGAGTGGCTGAATCAACCACGAATCCAGTTTCAGGACATGTGATTTTAGTGTTGCTTTTGAGCAATTCTCAACACGTCCACCATGACATTGGCCATGTCTTTTTTTTGTGGTGGTCAATTACTCTAAACCTGGAAAGGCGTTGCCAGCCCCCTCTATAGAACAATCCATAGCCGCATCTTATTGGACATGTAAAATTATTTAGAAACATGGCACTCTTCAGCTCCATGCAAGGGCAAGCCGTTTTAATACCTGGACTCCCGCCTTTCTTGTCATATCCCATTCAAAGATGTGGATGGACACTGGTCCTACCAAGAAGACCCCAAACCCAAAGACATACTGTCTACAACCTCCCGCGAATACTGAATAATGTATTCAGCACGTCTCGAAATACCTAACTGCAAAGTGAAGGTCCGAAGCTATGTTCTGGTGCAGAACCCCTCAAGATGGAACGTAAAAGGAGAGAGAGTGATCGTTCAATCCCCGATTCAAAATCTCTCGACCACTCTCCAGGAAATCCCGGTCAAGCGCTATTTCCAAGACGAAGAGCAGAACTCCGTTTGCATGCTCGGGGTGCAAGACATTGAGGGAGATACGAATGATATCTACGAAGAATTACAAGTCAGCCGGGTAGGCTTACACTGTTACCAAAATGCTGTTCTCTTCTATACCTAGGACCCGGGGAGCTGGGAGCTGTTTCAGGAGCTTATATGCATGCTCCTGAGACAGCTCCTGAGGTTTTTCTCGGCTCTCACTGAACGTTTACCTTCTTTGTGCTAATTCGTTGGGATAGAGACCGTCGTGGATTAATGCCCATGGTGTAGCCTTGTGTCGGGGCCCTTCCAGCTATGGGTTTGAGTATGAACTCGGGGATCCTTTCTGGATCAACGTGGGACCAAACACGAACCATTACACCACGTCTGTGCCTGTAATCAATCTAAAAACACACAAAAGCGGCTCTATAGCCGTTGGTCATGTATGTTGGTATCCTCATGTCCAGGGTCCCGATGATGAACTATGGACTCTCGGGGGAGAGGTCCGAAATTTGAAGCTCCGTGGCTCTGGGAACTTCTCATACTGGTCGTGGGTGGTATGTCAAAAACTCGACGGCACTCTATCTACAACCAAGAGTGTCGAGATTCCTACCAAGCGCATCAATTTAGGAGACAGATGGAAACTCACAGCCCAGGAAGCTCGGTTTCTATACGACCAAAAGTATCAGTATATGGACGAACGTCTTCGGTGCCCACCTAAATGTGAGCTTCTCACTCCACCGGCCACTCCCCCGACGCAACGAGAAGATTCAGGCCCTCCCGCGAAGAAGGCTAAGTACGATCAAGTACAAACAGGCCGCACTCCATTTGCCGAGCCAGACGCAGCATTATGGGGAAGGATCTACAGCTGGGCAATGCAAAGACAAGGACAATTTAAAGTGCTAGGCTCGAGTCTGGTGCAATCTGCCTTGACAACGACCTCTGCTGTCCACGAATCAATGCCGCGAAGTTTCTCAATCACAGCCGTGGAAGATAGCAGTAGCGATTTCGATTGGAGCGACGACACATCGTCGATAGCAAGTGTGGAGATATCTGTATTGGACTATCGATCCGCCGAAGCGGAAGGCCAAAAATGGCTTTGTGCGTCAACTCTCATGGAAATGGGGCGAAGACCTGGATTCCCTTTAGGTGTGAAAACTTCTACGGGGCAACATGCACACCCAGAAACCTATCATATAGACACCACTATCTCTGGGCGCTACGATCATCTCTGCGATCTCAAAGACCCTGGATGTACCTACAGTTCTCAGTCTACATGTGCCCATTTTCATGTTCCGCCATCCAAATGCACATTTACTATCTCAACAGCTGAACCCTTGTCACCTCCCCACGAACACTGCATATCACGCCTTCGCCCTTTACCTGGTCAGGCTGGGCCATGTTTGTTGACAGAAAAGGTTGATAGGAAACACATATGCTGCGGTTGGGCGGACAAGGATAAGGATGATTGGCCGCAGGTTACAGGAGAAGAATATGACCGGGGGAAAATATTAGAAGCCGACAGATTCCACATCCGTATACACGACCGCAGTCGCTGGATCAATCGAAAGAACCAAGCTCTTCCATTTTCTTCGGACATCATCAAGGAACTGGGTTGTGATGGGGCTAGGCTTTTCTTCGCCGACTTGGAGAGGGGAGTGGTTGACGAAGAAGTGATGGGTGTTTATAATAAGTTTTTCATGGCTAACGTTGCGGAATCACGGATCAAAAGTGCCCATAGTTGACTGGAAAAATTTGAGCCGGTCAGGCGATGGAGTTTGGTCTGTTTTCGTGGAGGCGCTGGGAGCGTATACCTAGGTAGGGAGTGTATACCCAGCATTTTTACGTGTGTCAAGTCAGTATGGATGATCCGAGCATTTTAGTGAGCCCTTTGGTTAAATATTAGAGCGTACCTAGATAATATTACAATGATAATGAAAACATCTTTGATCCTGGCTAGGTCTAAAGCCTGTACGATTCATTTCAAGAACAACCGAGCCTGTTGTGTTTAATTTCGATGAGCTTAACGAAGTATCTTTATAATGGTTTATGGCAGCGGCGATGAATTTGAAATGGTCTCACGGGAAAAGTGAAGCCTCAGAGTAAAGCAATGCATTGTTGATAACATATTTCAACATTCTAGGGATATGATAGTCCATTTAAGCACACTCATAACTCATCCCTCATCGCGTACTAGACGGCAGAGGTCTTACCAAATCCAACACCGTTTCAACGCAACTGGGAAACTTTCAACAAGGCTCTTCCGCTCAAACTTGGATCTCGTGACTTACTGGATGCATTGTAACTGTGCTTGTGCTACGGGTAGTCAAGGAAGTAGTGGTAGTCCTGGGAAAATTAGCACGGGATACTCCTTACACTCAGACAAGATCCTCACGGTTCAGACGTAGAGACGAAACTCAATGTCCGTGTAATGGTAGTCGGCTTGCCCGATATCGTTATTGTGGTCGTCGAAGTGGTCGCAGAAGTCCCACTCTGTGAAAGAGCGGCGCCCAAAAGACCGGTTGTCAAAGGCCCACTTTCCGAAAGTGTCGAGGTAGAAGTGGTGCCGTTCGCTGACAAGCTTGTGTATCCAATTTCAGTTGTAAGTTCAAAGGCTCCCGTGGGAACTGTAATGCTTTGACTTGGGCCCAAAAGGAGCACAGCAGGCTGCAAATATAAGTATAGAGCTTCATAGGCGCTGGAGAGAAGAACTAACAGCAGTGAAGGATGTCGAAATTGACACCGTACTAGTTGATGTAACGGGCACGTTTTCGGTATGCACAACCCAAATTTCCTGTATTTCCTGACAAGATTCATTGTCGTTTTGGTCGAACTTGCAGATAAGCACTGCGATATTGGTGGGTGTGTTAGCCGCAAGAGATTGCCATGGGGCGATGAAATAGGAAACCACGCTCTGGACGAAAGTAGCTGCTGTTGGACTCTGCGATAGAGCTTGGCCAGCTACAAGAGCGGGAGGTATGGATGGAATGGCTGTTGCAGTTGCTAGAGAGTAGCTACTTTGTGTGGAAAATGTAACATTTTGGTTACAATCAGTAACTGTGACACTGGTAAACCAAGCGGACAATACAGTTGAGCAAAGAGACGTTGTGATATTCCCGAATACCGTGGAACAATTTGAAGAGGTATTGGACCCAGGAGTGTTGCAAACTTCATAGGCTGCTACCACAGAAGTGACGACCATGCTTTGGGACGTCAACGTAGGTGTGATAACTCTCGGACTAGGCACAGAGTAGGTGAAATTGTGATCTGGCTCAGATCCTTGGGTTTTGGGGATCATTTCTCCAGGACCTTTAGCAGCGCGATTTAGATGACCATTTGAGCGGCGAAACCATAAAGACTCTACAGGAAGGGCGCACAGCGTCCACAGAGTATAGAATGATAAAAATGAAGGAGAGACCATATTGATGTTGGCGAAGGTATGAAAAGTTGAGAGAAAAAGAGTGGGAGCTACAGCTGAGGGATAATAATCAGGAGAACACTATAAGGAAAGGGATACGCATTAAGACCTTGACGCGCTCTTCAACTCTGAAGATGGCAGGTTGAAGAATCCGGGGCGGGGCAGGGTAGGGCAGGCGTGGAATGCGGGTTGATGACGAGCGAACAATCCAAACCTTCTATCCACAGTATCGTGCACGTAGGACGCAGGGAGAATTGATGAATTACGAAGCCTCAAATTGGTTGTGTTGGCGGCGAAGGCGAACGAGAGAAAGGTTACAGTACCTCTTGGCTCCACTCGGTAAGGTGAGAGATGAGTGTTGTCACAACAACAGACAACAAACATTGAAAATACAAATCCAGTATAGGTATCGGTATCCTCTTCTCATGCTCCGCGCCCTAGGTAATTTTGCCCGAAACCTTTCCAAAGCAAAGCCTAATAACTTCCATTGCCATCATGGGTCCGAAGAAGCATTCCGCCGTCAAACCCAAGACCACAGCAGCCCCTGCACGTGAGCAGCCGCCACCAGACTGGCCACCTTTCAAGCCCCTCTTGCAAGCTTCAGACCTGTCTCTATCTACCGTAGTAGAATCTCAAATCTTCGTTGTAAAGAACTTCTGGACTGGGACGCTATGCAAAAATTATGTCTCATTTCTAAAAGGCTTGCCGCTCACCACAACGCCCGGCAAGCCAAAGAGGGGCGACGCCTTGCGTGTCAACGACCGATTCCAGGTGATGGACGAAGGATTTGCTAATAGGCTGTGGGTTGAGACTGGGCTGAGGGAGTTGGTTTGTGGCGGCGATGAAGATGTTGGGGGAGAGGATGTCATGAGTCCGGAGGAGAGGAAGGAGTTGTGGGGAGGGGAACCCTTGGGACTGAACCCGTCAATACGGATCTACAGATACACCAAGGGGCAATATTTCGATTGCCATTGTAAGTCTTCTCCCTCCTCGAATTATTAGTTTCTGACCGTTCTACTCAGATGACGAATCAAACGTATTAACCTTAAACACTAAACCTACGCCGATGCCAGCCAAAACCACGTGGACATTTCTATTATATCTAACATCACCCGCAACAGGCTGTCAAGGGGGCGAAACGGCCTTCTACCCTGACGACCTTCCGGGAAGGAAGTCGGCTATTGAGAAAGAGATTGTCGTTGGACTAGAGACCGGAATGGCGCTGTTACACAAGCATGGTAATGATTGTATGCTGGTGAGTATCTTGGTTCTTTGTTGTGCAAGTCAAGCTGATGGTTTCTTAGCATGAGGGAAGAGAAGTTACCGATGGTGAAAAGTGGGTTATCAGAACGGATCTTTGCGTAAAGAGGGAGAAGTCAAGGTTTGCAGATTGATTGATTCAGCTGCGTCGATAAAAGGGTATATCAGCAAACCCCACAAGTCAATATCATCCCTACCTGACCACTCAAGTGCCTGGGCGGAAGAACCTATGAGTTCCATTCCAATGTTCCCACTGGAGCTACAAGCACAGAGTGAATAGTGGGGGTATTCTCTCCCCAATCCCAATCCCAATTCCCGTAATAAGCCTCAATAAAAATTACTGGCGAGATGGCGTCGGATTCAAGACAACTGCATATTTATAAATTCATCAGGCCTCGTGCTAGCTTATCTCATCGCGCTATCTCCATCCAAGGGAGGCTGTTCAGTGATCCCTTCGATGGAAATTTCAGCTTTTATTCTCTAATATCTCTGATGGTGGTTGATTCGTCGATTCTCAAATGAATGCTTGGTGGACCATGGATTAAGCACCCAGGGAGGAACAAGTCACACATATGCAGAGCTGGCATAGAGAAACATGATGAGGGTTAAGCTCCACATAGTGATGATCATAATTAGGTTTTAGATGCGTGAGATGGGTATCCGGTGGTATGACTCGACAGAAATTGCTGAGACGTATTGTGGAATATGACGAGATTGACATGAGATGGCAGAACAGGCTTGAGTTTGTTGAAGTGGTGTTAATAGGAGGAAAAGTAGAGCGGAAGATGTTCGAAGAGACCGTGAAACGAACGGTGAACGACATGGGACATTTCGCCTTGTGTATACCTACAGCCTTTATCCCGACAGAATGGATGGTTCTGACATTGAAAAGGGGAAGTTGAAGAGTTCAGACATGATGTTCTTGACAATCTACGGGGCTGAAGCTTCTTGAGCGTTGCAGTTAGCGACTATTAACTTTTTGGGTAATAGACCCTACTCGCTTGAGCCTTGTGGTAATCTGATGCTTGAAGAATATGGATCGACAGCTGTGCGAAGATGTGGAGATATCTAGCTACAAAACATATAACGTCATTCACATAACTAGATGGAGCTGGAGCTCGCTTGGATATTCTAGTCATTTCATTGGAATATCCTTGATAAGACGCCCACCCCTCCTGTTTTTCCCATCCTCATCCGCCTGGGGGTTGGAGGCTGGGAGGTTGAAGAAGGAAGGGGAAGAAGCCCGATTAACCTAGCCTTCTTGCTTGGGCCAAAGGTTCCCATAGGTCCCCGGTACATTGAGTCTAGCCGCTGGCAGCGCGCTCATTCCCATCGACCTGCGCAAGATGCTGAGATAGATTCCTTGAAGTTGTTTTTGCCCAGACCACCCCGCATTTTCGAAGGCGCACGGTTCGTCCATGATGTAGGTGACGGGTTAGGCAAGCTTTTAAGACCTGAAGGCTTCACTCAATGGCGTCTGAATAGAAGTATAGTTGACATAGATAGTCTTCTCCGTGTCACCTTGGATGACTGACGGGTCCATGTCCTTTCTCACCCGGCCTGCTGGGTCGAATAACCGGCCCATGGGGACCTTGGGCCACTTCTTGCTCATCTGCTTTATCTCCATCAACTGGCACCCCGATAGCGCCATCTCGATTCGCTCTCCAAATGCCACCCTCTTTGCCACCAAATTCTTCCTTCTTCCATACCTCGACCTTCTCCTTGCATTCCTCCAAGGCTTCCTCGCCAGCTCTCCAAGCGGCCTGGCGATGAGGCGACGATACGGCAATTAGAATGCTCTCTTCCCCAATTGGCACTACACCCAGGCGGTGCATCATTGAAATGGCTGTAAGAGAATGCTTCTCTGTGACAGACTTGCATATTGCAAGCATGCTCTGGAGTGCACGTGGCTCATAGGAGGTGTATTGAAGCTCCTTGACTGGCTTTCCAGCAAAGTTATCGCGCGTGGTGCCTTGAGAGATTGTTAGCTCGTGCCGCACCTTACGATCATGTATGTTGCAGTACCAGCAAATAGCACGATGGCGCCAGCCTTGGGACTCCGGACTCTGTCCATCACGGATTTTGCATCTAGATGATCTTCAGTCAAAGCCACGAAGCAGGTGCTCTCACTTAGTTCTCCTGGCATGGTGGTGGACAGTGTAGATGTTAAATCTTTATTCAAAGAAGTAGCGGTAGAGGGCAAGGAGACGAAAACGGAAATCGTGAAATCGTTTTACTTGTACAATCGTCACTTTCTGCCGGGATTTCTTCGGCTCTTCCTCCCGTAGATGCGGCCGACCCGACGACACTTCAACCTCAAGTCAAGGCAAGGCAAGGCTCATGCTCTTTTGACATTTCTGTTCCTATGCCTACTCCTACTCCTACTTATTCACTACTTACTTCTCTCCAGATCTCATTCGCAGTGCATCCCACCCGATCGTACGCCCAAAATGAGTTATCACCGTCCCCCACGACCTCCCGCCTCTACCTCCCAAGACTCTAATAATATGTACGAGGATCCGCCTTACGAAGCCAACCAGCTGCAGTACGAGTATCACGATGCCTCCCCACAGGGCTACCGGAAGGGTAAACGATAGCGTGGATATGGAGCTTGGCTGAATATGTGCTGATACTGCATCTCTTAAGATAATACAAGAACGCCTCCTCGAGGGCCTGCTGGCGAAAGGATGAACGAGTCCGATCGCTATCAAAGAGATGAGCGCGATGGGAACGGCCATGGACGCGAACGTTCCAGGTCTCCCCGATGGGAAGGACGAGGACGGTACACCGACCGTGATAGAGAAGGTTATCGGTCTCCCCCGCGCAACAGGAGCCGGAGCCGTTCGCCATACTTTGGAGGACCACCGAATCGAAATGTGATTCTCGAAGGACTTCCCACAGACATGACACAGGAAGACGTTGGCCGCCCCACCCCCCCTTTTGCGGACTTCCTATCACCATTTCATCCTAAGTGTTTGTTGAGAAGAAATTGGAATTCTGGCTAAGCATAAGATTGGCCGCTTTGGCCGTTCTTTGGATATACAGATTTTGAATGAACTTCGACAAAGCTTTCGACTCGAAGGCCTAGAAGAAGTCAGATTGATTAAAGATAAGAGGACAGGTGAACATTATTCTCTTGTTGGATTGTTCTGTCTGACTGTGACTAGGAGTGTCTCGTCAATTTGCATTTGCGCAATTTGTCGGCATTCTAGAAGCCAGACGCTTTCTGGAACAATACTACCCGACAGTCGCCCTTTATGGCGCATATCCGAATCAAGCGACTAGTACACAGCCTGCACAAGTCAGAATAGCATTTAGCAGAGACGATCGAGACAAGTCGGGCAAAAGCGAAGATGACTGGAGGTGTGAAGTGGTACGATTTGGTACTTGAGAGTCGCCATATGAGGCTTACAATTTTAGTGTTATGCATCGAATTTTTCTACTCGAACATTATGCTACAGGTGTAATGCCCCAAGAACCCGTGAGTTACTCTCCGCATGGAAGTTAATTAGTTCTGAATAATTTAGGTGCGACGGCTCATGGCGTTTTTGTTGCACAGGGGAACATATCTTCGTTCTCTGGCTTTGCCGCTACTGGTGATAGCGATGCATCTCCTGACGGCACTGCATCTCAGTTTCTCCTACTACGCGGCTTGGAGCCTGGGGTTAATGAGGAGTTGCTGGCGAAAGGGGCTATTAAGCTTTACAAGACCAAGGCGACAACCACGACACCCCCTGGAGACGCCCCCGTAGCGAAAAAGACGAAAATTGCTTCCACGTCGAACGATTCCAGCGCGGGTGCTAAAGATGGATCGCTTCGTCGTGTTTTATTGGTTCGGGATAGGCAATCTAACGATAGTTGGAAATATGGCTTTGCAGAGTTCAACACCGTTGAAGATGCCCAAGCTGCCATGATGAAGTACAAAGCTTCTGAAAAGTTCACTATCTCATCTAAACCTGTCATGGTGTCATATATACATGCAGGGGTTTTTGTGCCGGTACTTCATCCACTAGGAGATGAATTCGCCAACTTCACTTTCAGCCCTCTTTCGAATGCTGCTGTCAAACTAATGTACTGGGACGAAGCTGCATACGCCAGTGAGTTTGTAATTGCTACGGCCGACCAATCAACTGTTTCGAAGAACAAAGAGACTGAACATGCAAAACTAGCTGCCGCAGCGGCCGGCGAAGGTCTTGTTGTCCCAGGCAAGGAAGGGGAACCGCGATCAAAGAAGCGGAAGGTCGAAAAGGACACAAAGGTCGTTGCGCCTCATCTCAAGTTCTGGACCAACAAACATGCCGAAATTCATGGAGGTCCCGCCAAGAACGAGGATGTCACATCTGATACCGCACAAATGGAGCCTGTGACGAAGGTAGAAGAGGAGGTAGCAGAGTCGCTGCCAGGCCAGACTTTTGCTGATCTGGAACGCAAGTGCTGTTTGCTTTGCTCGCGACAGTTCAGAACTGAACCCGAAGTAAATAAGCATGAACGAATCAGCCAGCTTCACCGGGATAATATGAAGGACGAGAAGCTAGTAGCAAAAGCCTTGGCTAAGATGAGAAAGTCGTCGGAATCGGTTTCTGAGAATTCGGCCTATCGCGATAGGGCTAAAGAAAGACGACAAGCTTTCAATCAACCAAAGCAGCCTGCTGCCCAACACAACCGACCGAAAGCTTCTGGCACATTAGCTACTAAGGAGGAGGAAGAGGCGCCAGTAACGTCAAAGGGTGCCGCTTTGCTGGGTAAGATGGGTTGGACTGCAGGAGAGGGTCTGGGTGCGCAGGGATCAGGAAGAACAGATGCTATAACTACAGAACTCTATGCGCAGGGCGTTGGTCTCGGAGCCCAGGGTGGAAAAGTCGGCGATGCGGTCGAGGAGGCCCATCGTCAGACGAAGGGAAGTTACGCGGATTTTCTGAATAAGACTAAAGATAAAGCGAAGGAAAGGTTCGACAGTCTGACCTGAGAAAATAATACCACCAACAATTATTGCAGTTGAAGATGTCCAAATGCTCTAGGTGACTGTCGTTACTTGCGTATCTTTTAATAGGGAGGATTAGTCATCACATATTATAGAGGCTCCTGCCTCTATATAAGACCTTCTAGTTGGAGGCATTTTAGCAAACAACTAATTTATGTCACGGTCCGCATTGGGCTTAGTCCCACAGATTCCAACCGGAAACATATTGATATATCTCTTGACTATATTACTAGCCCGCGCTAGCATTAGGCTAGCGCCGTCCTACATAGTCTTAGACTCACATAGGACGTTAATGAAATAAATAAATATATTGGAACTATATGCCTCCTAGGATTATTACCTCTAGAAGGACACATAGACCAGATAGGGACATAGTTAGGGAAGTGGGTTAAAGGGGTTATATTAGCTTAAGGAGGAAAGCTACTATAGAGGTAAAGATAAGGTCCTTATGCCTTATACGCGTCTGCTAGCGGCCGCGTCACCTGATACTATAAGGGCTATATTTCTAATACTCTCCTATAGCTCTTACTATAGCATCTTTTTTTATTTCCCTTCTTTCACTTTTCTAAATAAGAATAATAACTAACTACTAATCTATTATAACTCCTAGCTGCCCTAAGAATCCTCTAAATATAACTTGACTAAGGGGTTTTATAAAACCATCTATAGGTATCTCTAATATTAATAAGTATAAGACTTTTATCTTCTTCTTTTTAACTAGATCTTAGATATAGTAGTAGTATATATTAATATGCTTTAATTATTTATAAAGGTAGGAATTCTAGACTAGGGCTAGGGCGCCTTAGTTTATTTATTATTTA